CTGCCAGCCCCCCATCTCTTCCCTCTGATGCTCCTCTCTGTGCCCTCCCGCCCCTGCCCTACTGCCAGGCAGATCTCCTTCTCTTCTTCCATGCCCATCACTGCCTCTCTGCTCGGCCTGCTCCTCCATCCCCGCAGCAGTGAGAAGCCTTAATTTCTGGTACTGTGTGAGCACTCTGGGGGCGTCCCCCTCCCCCTTCAGGGGCAGCTAGTGGACGAGTGGGGAGGGTATTTAGCACTGGGGCCTGGAGCTTTTCTCCCACTTCTATACCCCATCACCCCTAAAGTTCAAATGCAAAACACTTGAAGCAGCAACTACTGTACCTGGGCCCCAATCCTGCACTCTCCCCTGGCACCTCATATGCAAATCAAGGGCTGGTTCTGCCCCCACAGCCTACCCTCCCTGCTTCCCCTCTCTCCTGGCCTGGCCCCCTAACCACGCACTTTAACCCTGCTTTTTTCTTTTAACTTCTGGGAGGGCAGAGTCTCTGGCCATTCCCTCCCTGGCTCTCCTGTCCCTTAACTTTGAGGCTTGTCATGAATTTTTAAGTAAGCATTTTATCCTTTAGGGGAAGAAACAGATTAATTTCCTGCCCATTTCAAAACCACAGCCCTAGTATGTCCTTTGTGTTTCAGGCATGTGTTTGCATGTATGGAGGAAGGGACTGTGTTCTTCCTCCTGCGCCCCGCAACCCTAGACTTCCTTTGCTCCCTGTCTGCTGCCGCCTTCCGTTATGTCCGAGAGTACCCACTGCCACCAGTCACTCCTGATCTGAAGCCAAAGACGGTGGGGGAGGGGCAGGGCAGACTAGGGGCAGAGGCTGCTCGGGAGCCAGGCTTCCCCTCTGGTGTGAGGATGAAGCTCTGACCCAAGGAGCAACCGACAGACGCCGAGGCTGGGCCCCGGCCTTCCCCGCAGCAGGGAGAGGCGGGTTGGAGCTTGGGGCCGCACCGAGAAGATTCCTCAAAGTCACATCCCAAAAGCCAGACTGGGCCGGAGTGAGGAGGGGGCAGTATTTTTCTCTAAATGTAGCATTGAATTTGGCCCTGGTCCCTTCAAAAGCCCTGTCCATCCATCTCCTAGCGAAGCCTCCTAGACAGCCAGACCCGTTCCCGCAGGCCGGCGTTCCCTCGCTCACACTCAATACCTCAGCCAGGGGCCAAGACACAGAACTTGAACAGAGGTCACGCCCCCTCCGCCCTCACAGTGCATCCTTGTCCGGTCTGGCTGCTGTCAGTATTGTCCCATGAGAACTGGATGGGCTTCGTTTACACAGTAGAGGGTCTCCCCCTCCCAGGGGACCCTCATTCTCCCGCCCCCTCTCATGCTTGCTTTATTCACAATCTTACACGGATTTCAGTTGTGGCCCCTGCGAGTCTTGCCACCCTTGCCAAGGGTGGGCTGAGGGGAGTGGAGGCATCCCAGGGCCCCTCCCTCCCTAGCAGATACCCTTAACCATACCTCATGCTGGTTCCCTGGTGCCTGGAGCGTTTGTCCAGGTCCTTACTCTTTGTCGTGGTCCTTTTCCTTTCTCTCTCTCTCTCTCTCTCTTCCTCTCTCTTCCCCTAACCCTCAGTTCCTAAACCATTTCAAAGCTTCCAAATGACCATTATTGGTGAAAAGGATTGTGCAGCTTTTAGTTTTTATTTTTGTTTTCAAAGCCAAAGGGCCTTGTGACGCCCCTCTTGCCCACTTCCCTCCACACCCTGTCCTCCCCTGTATGACAATCAATGTGACCTCTCTTAAGGGCTGCAGCCCCCCACTCCCACCCTGCTGGTTCTGCAGAGCTTGCCCCAACTTTAATTCTCCTGAATGTTCCCATCCCACCCCATCCCTCTCATTTTGGTGCTGGGAATTAGGTGGGTGGGGGGCAGGGGAGAAGGGAGCTGGGTCCTGCAGAGAAGATGCAGGGTGTCAGTCGTGTTCTCCTTTATCAGCGTTCAGCGATGACAGGAAGAACCGGAGTGTTTGGGGGGGGGGGGGCGTTGTGTTGCTAGATGAGATTTCTGGTGGCTGCCTGCCCGCTCCCCGCACGTCGGCAGTGCTGGGCATGGGCAGTGCTGGGCATGTGGCGGGCGTCCTCTGGCCTCCTCCTGTGGCTGCGAGGAGGCCTAGAGGACCGGCAGTCCCCTCTCCTTATGCCAAAGGAAACCCCACCCCCGCGCCCCCAGTTCTCCAGCCCCTAGTGTTTTTTGAAGCATTTTGACCATTCTCATGGCCACTGCATATTTATTTTAATGTTAAGATTTTTTTTAAACCTCTGACTTAAACGGGTGTGGAGAAGTAAAACAGGCAGGATGCCCCCCAACCTTCAGGGGCAGGGTGGGGAGGAAACCTCTCCTTCCCTCCCCGCCCTCCCCCCTCCCCCCTTCCCGCCGCAGCTCTAAAGCACTTGCTTCAAGTAATAAGCACTTTTGAGAAAAGGCCTATTTTAAGTGAGGACCTGGGAGCAGCCCCAGGTCCCAGCAAAGGAGACAGAGCGAGGGCTACACAGGAGACAGGGAAACAGACACAGGCGTGTGAATCGGAGGGCGAGATGAAAAGAGCCGGTGTTTAGTTTGATTTTGGGGGGACGTGTTTCTGACTGGGCAGTGGCTTCGGTAGGGTTGTGTATTATCCTTCAGAAAAACAAATGGCACAAACTTTGGGTCCCGGGATGGACCAACAGACCCAGGTCACTGCCACTGTCCAGCTGAGACGGATGGGCCACCTCCCCCGCCCTCGGCCCCCTGAGCCATAGGACTGCTGAAAACCACTGAATGTACAGCCCGGGTCGGGGTGGGGAGCAGCCCCTGGGGGAGGGGCTTCTCCTTTTGTTTGGTGCTGTGGGGGGTGGGAGAGATGGGACTGAGGGGCCGCCACCCCACTTAGACATGTGCTCCTTGGGGTGGAGGGTGGAGGAGGGCCCGCCTCCCTCCCCAGCCCCAGCCATGGCCCCTCTTCCCTTCTCATCCCTATCCGTTTTGACTGTAAGTCCAGCTCACCTTTGCCTTCAATATGTAACCAAAGGAAAACTCAATACTGTTTCCACCGCTGTCTGCCCACCTGAGCACCTTCTTCCTCCCCGGACCTAGAAGGGGAGAAGAGGCTGGGGGCATGGGGGTTGTGGGGCCAGAGTGAACAGTTCTACAGTTGAACCCCCAAAACCTTCTCTGGGGTCTTGGAAGGGGCCCTGAGAGGTGGGGGGGGGCAGGCTGGAGGGGCCGGGAGCAGGCACACTCTGGGGCTCGTGCACACTTGTGTTTCTCCATTAGAATGACTCCAGTGGCTGTGCTCCAGCAGGGAGGCCCCTTCCTCCTTCCCTCCCCACCATTCCTCACCCTCTCCCTGCCCCCAGTGTTTGTCCCCTGCCTCCCCTTCCCACCGCAAAGGAAAATAGCCTTACAGACCCTAGCCCAGAAGCCCTCCTGCTGGTGCAGACCAGTGTGGGGCCCCGTCCTGCCTAGTTTGAACCCTACCTTGTAAGGAGGGAGAAGGAGCAAAGCAGCCCCTTCCCCCATCTGGTGGCTCCAGTCCTCTGCAGCCTTGCCCCACGTGGGCAAGGGCGGAGGCGAGGAATCTTTGAGGACCAAGCCCAGTGGTCTGGGAAGAGGGAGGTGGAGAAGGAAGGGTCTGACTCGAGGACTCCCTCCTCCCAACCCGACCCCTAGAGAAGCGACCAAATCCCAGAGATGGGAGGAAGCTGGGGTGGGAGGGTCTGCTCTATGAACTACTTGAAGGTACTGATTCCGAGGCTGCTGTTGCCCACTTAAGTGTGAGGGGGACACTGTCACTGCATCCAGGAGGGCAGAGGGTGGCGGATGAGAGGATCCGCCCTTGGCCCATGCTCACTCCTGCGAGGCCCCTTCCCTGGGGAGTCTGACTTTGCCCCCGGGGACTTCGGGGAGAGCCTTCTCCTCCCATCTCCATCCCTCACCGTGGGCACCCTCTCCAATTGCACTAAAGTAGCTGTTGTGCCAGTCTTACCCCCACACCAGGGTGGGGTCTCTGCTTCCAGTCCTTTCTCTCCCCTTGCCTCTGCTCCCATCCCGGACAATCTCCTTGTTCCCTGTATTCCTGGATAGCTCAGCTTTGTGTGTGTGCGCGTTTAGGGGTGGGTGGGTTCCGGCTGGAGTGGGCTTGGTAGGGGTTTGGGAAGGGCTCGGAGAAAGAGGGAGGATGAAGCCTCCTACCCCCTTCCTCGACTCCAAGCCACAGAAGCCTGGGAGGGAGGGCGCCGACTCTTGCTGCTGTGTGTCTTGCAGATGTGCCAAAATGGGATTGGGGCGGGGCGTGGGAGGGGAGGGTGCCTGGCAGAGTGGCCCCCAGCGTGGCTCTCTCAAAGCAATACAGTTCCTCCTGCCTGGGGGATGGCAAGACAGGGGAGAGGGTTGGGTTGGGGACCTGGGGGTTCCCTGTGTACAGCTGTGTATATTCAGGGGTGTTCTCTGTCCGGTTCCCACTGCGGGTGTCTATGTGCGTGTGATCCTCCCTTCCCCGTGCCCTGCATGACCTGTGATGCTGCAGACACCACCATCCTGTGTGCAAGGGTGTGTTGGGGGCACTGAGGGGCGTGTTCCATGTCCCGTTGCACCCTCCACCCTGTGACCCATGTACTCGGTTGTAGGAAGTAAAGAGAACTGAGCACAATTCACTGGATTCTAGTTGAATCTTTCTCTAAGCAATTTTCCCCTTCCAGCCCTTCTCCCTGCCCTGGATCCACCTGTGGTGCTAGCGTTGGGGTCGGGGGTGTTTAATGCTGGTGGTCAGCAATAAAGGGCAGATCTGCCCAGATGCCTGTATCCCCAGGGTGCTGAGGGCAGCAGGAAAAAGTGGGGACCTCAGTGCATTGCCCCATCCCTCCCACTCCCCCCTGGGCTAAAGCACAATGCTCCCCCTGCAGACTGATGCACCCGTCCCCCCAGGCCCCTGCTCTCGTCCTCCCGACCTGCTTTGAGCCCCCTCCCACCACATCTGGTTTTCTATGCTGTTTTGGTGCAAGTACAACTGTCATAGTCATGGCTTGGGGATGGGTTCTGTTTATTAAAATCCTGTTGCTCCTACTGGCCCTGTGTCCCGCCTCCATTCCTGTGGTTGGGGGGAAGGAAGAGCAAGCAGGACGCCTGTCCCCTGCCCCGTCAGCCGTCAGAGAGTGGGGCCCGCAGCCGCTCCTCCAGCAGGGCAATGGCCAGCATGAGGCTGCCCCCCAGGAGCAGCCCCAGCCCCTGCAGCAGCACCTCGAGTGCAGGCAGGGGCTCGGGAGGACGCAGCAGGGCGGGCAGCTGCAAGAGAGGAAGAACGTCAGGATCCTGCCCTCGTCTCCGTCACGGAAACACAAAGCCTGAGAGGAGAGTATCTGGGAGTATCTGCAGTCCCTGCCCCCACTCTCTTGGGCCCTCGTTTCTCTGACCGAGGGCCTGTGGCCCCGCGCCCCCTGGGGGGCCTGTGGTGGTGGTGGAGGGACTGATACTTCCCTCTCCTCAACGGCCCCCCTCCCTCAGTTTCTCTGCCCTGCCCCACACCTCACCATGTCCACGAGGGCCACGTAGAGGAAGACCCCAGCAGTGGCCCCAAACACCCAGGGAGTGAGGGGCACAGGGCCCAGACTGAGCCCGACTCCCAGGGCTGCACCCCCTAGCCCTAGCACTCCAGACACCAGGCTCAGCAGCAGCAACCGCCGAAAGGGAAAGCCTGCCCGGAGCAGCATTGCAAAGTCACCTGTTGTGAGGAGAGGACAGGGTAGGAGAGAGTGAGCCGGTGCTGCCCCGTGCCAGCATCACCCGCCAGCCTCCAGGGTCCACCCCAACCCCACTCTGCCACTCCTACCCAGTTCGTGGGGCAGCTCGTGGCAGAACACTGCCAGGGTGGTGCTGAGGCCGCTGGAGAAGCCATGAGAGAAGGCAGCACCTGGGGGTGGTGGCACTGGAGGTGGGCAGTCTGGAAGGAAGCTCTCCCCGGGGGCCGGGCCCACGTTCCCTCCACGATCCCCTGATCCCCAAGTCCTGGTCACCCTCTCCTAGCTCCAGCCCGTGCCTGCCTCCCTCTGCCCCTCCCTTCATACCTATGGCCAGCCCATCAGTGAGGTTGTGCAGACCATCTCCCAGGAGGACCATCCATGTTATACTGGTGTCAGTGCCACCCTGGTGCCCGTGACTGTGGCCTTGGTGCCCAGAAGGGGCTCGGGCTGGTGGGGGCTGGCTGTCCTGCTCGCCGCAGCCCAGAGCCCCTGGCTCTGCAGGAAGAAAGACAAGGACAGTGTTGGTGGCTACGAATGAGACTGGGAGCCCACTCTTCATCATCTCCTCTGGTCACCTGGTGCGGCCGGTAGGGGCTGAAGTGCCATCCCGCTGCCGTCCTCTGGGTCCAGGTGTGGTGTTCTCAGATCCTTTCTTTTCTGCCTGCAGCACCTCTGAAATAAGAGGGTACCCCTCCTGGTGGAGGAGGCAGCAACACCAGGGGCTAAGGAGAGACCAGGCTACCGGCTGGGAAAATGAACGCCTGGTTCTGTTTCTGGCACTTGGGGATGTTTTTTGGCTTCTACTCTTTTCCCAGGTCGGCACCTCCCTGCTGTTGCCTTGAACTCAGAAGCGAAAGCTATTGGGCCAGGCAGAGTCCTGAGTCTTGGCTGATGGAGCCCTACCCATTCCCCATTAACAGTCAGGGCCGCAGTCAGGCAAACGGCGGAGCCAGGCGCACACTTGGCCCCTCACCTCCCTGTCCATGTGGCCAGTTCTTGGGTAGAACTCTGGTCTCAGTAGGAGGAAAAAAGGGAGTCACTCACTGGCCTTAGCTCTTGGTGCCGCAAAATCCCTAGCACGTTCTCCAGCAAGAAGAGCAGGAAGAGACCGCCAAGCACTGACAGCCCTGGACCCAGGTCTTCCTCTGGTCGCCCACTAGGTCCGGCATGGTGCCCTCCTTGTGCCTGACAGAGAGGTGGTTAGGAAAGATCCCCGAAAGCCCCGCACCCCGAAACATCCTCCTCCTGGGTGGGAGGTGGCAAGCCTTCACTTATACTATACGTTCTACTAGATGGCAGGCTGTGGGCTGACAGAGGTGGAGGGGATATTCTATGACTGGGAACATCTCGGGTGTGAGGGGCTGTCCGCCGAAGGGGGTAGGGGAACGAGGAAGGGGCTCCACGTACATGCGGCAGCAGGTGTAGCAGCGCATCCCCACAAAGAGTGCCCACAGCCAGGGCCCCCAGGAAGCCCAGCAGGGGCCGCCATAGACGAGATCCAAGGAGCCGCAACAGAAGCAGGGAGAGAGGAGCAGGGAGGCTGAGCAGCAGGACTGCCAGGGCGCTGTGAACCAGGGCTGGGGAGAATCAGGGGTTGAAGTCAGGCCAGGGCTGGGGGGAGGGGCTCAGAGCCAAAGATACACTGCAAAGGGAGGCAGGACCCCAGCGAACCCCCTCCCTTGGCTTGGAGCCCACTCCCTACCAGGACTCAGGGTGCCCTACCAGCCACTCTCACCCACTGACCAGACAGTAGATCCCCTGGTGGGGTTGGAACTGGGGCTTGGATGCAGACACGGCTGTCGATCTGATAAAGCAGGGCTGGGCAAAGCAGAGCAAACTGACGAGGAGTGAGAGGGGCAGCGGGGCTCAGGCCAAAATTGACCAGCAGCTGGGAACCATTCAGACACTGGGGGAATAAAGTTGGGAGTCACACACTGAACCAGGACGGAGACCTGCCCTTGCAGCACGTGGACCACTGGGTCTCTCCCAGGCCCCTGTGCATCAGGATCTGCACACAGGTACGTGTAAGCAGCATGTGTTCATTATCAGTAACTATTTAACCCCATACCAATGTTCAGTTCAATGCAGATTGGGTGCTGGTGAACATGGCCACCATCTCCCTCCCTCCCAAGCACCCGATGATGTCATTGATTGGGTCATGGATTCAGTCCGACAACTAGAACTCTCCAGTCCAGATTCTTAGAGAGGAAAAGACCCTGACATGTCACCAACCTTCCTTTCAACAGCCCTGCCACAAAGTTTATCCAGCCTCTGGCTCGACTACTTCCTGTTACGGGGCGCTCTCTTGCCAGGCCCGCTTCAGGGTCAGCTCTGTAGCTTTGACTGCCCTCTGGTGTATGTGGGACAAGTGCGCTGTCTTTCTGGATGAAAGCAGATGTCCATTCCCTGCAGGCCCCCTCTCCAGATAAGCAGCCCCACAGCCTACCCTGGGCCACTTCTCTGGTATCTCTGCTTTGTCAAGTGTGTGACTGCTAAGCTGGTTCTCGGCGTCCTAAGTGTGGCTGTCTGCCCTGAGCCCAGAGGGAACGTATTTTATATCGGAATAACATACCCTAATACCACAGTTGGATTTTTAAAAAGTAACTATTAAATTACTGACTCTTTCCCTGGCTGGTATGCCCCAGGGAACTGAGTGCCAGGTTGCAAACCAAAGGGTCGCTGGTTCAATTCCCCGTCAGGACACATGCCTGGGTTTCAGGACAGGTGCCCAGTTGGGGGCACGCCAGAGGCAACCACACACTGATGTTTCTCCTTCTTTCTCTCTCCCTTCCTCTTTCTCTAAGTAAAATCTTTTTTTAATTACTGACTCTATAAACATTTCGTGCCATCTAAATCCCATGGTTCATTTCCCTGTTCATCAGACTCACAGCCTCATTCAGGTGGTCAGCCAGTGAATGGTCCAGCAGCAGAAGCCTGTGAAAGAGGTCCAGGCCCGAGGGGGCTGGCCCGTGGGGTGGTGAAGAGGCCTTTGGCTGCTCAAGGTCACCCCACCCCGAGGGACCCAGAGGCAGCTCTGCCCAGACATCCACATTCAGTTCGGGGTCCCGTGGCCTGGAATGGATGGGTGGGATAGAAAGTCAGACTTGCCCTTGTTCTCTGTGAAATCCCCCTCGAGAGGCTGCCAGGGGAAAAGGGAAGACCAGCCACTGGCTGCAGTTCCTGGGACCCAGAAACCAATGGCGTGTCAGTCCTGGGAGCATCTGAGAAGTGTCTGTTACTACGGGAATGGGGGACATGGCGTGATAGGACATGGGAGTTGGGGGACAGCCAAAAGTGCTACAAACTGGGAGCCAAGGCAGCCTGGAGACACTGCGCGAGCGCTGGGACTAAAAGCAAGGGACTGAAGGGTGCAGGGGTCTGGAGAATTAGAAGGTGGCAGAGGCGAAGGGGGCCTTGAGGGGTTACAAGGAGTCAGGTCCCCCCAAATTTGTAATCCTAAGAATCTGATTTCAGGAGCCAGAGAATTTAGACACTGGAGACGGAGCTCAGCACTGAAAAGAGCTGGGAGGTGGGGTTTGGTGGTGGGAGAAGGGGCTGGTACCTGTGAGTGGAATTGTCTCCGGCAGAGGCTGCAGTGTGACCCTCAGGAGGCCCATAGTGTCCCAGGCGCAGCCCCTGAACCTGGCCGAGCCCCAGACTGTGGAGAAGCCTGGCGAGGCCCCCTGCAGACAGCGTGCCATTCTCCCCGTACAGGCCAAACAGCTGGGCCAGGTAATGGTTCTGCTCCAGCTCAGCAGGGCCCAGGTCAGGGTCTGAGCCCCCTCCCCAGCCCAAGGCTGCACACACACATATAGCAACCAGCAGATGACTCATTGGGAGCCCCATTATCGGGGGGAGCTGGTCAGAGGCTCTGGATCCAGCTTCTATTCCCCCTAGAACATCCTGAGGATTATGCCCTGGAAGAACAAGGAGGAAGCATCAGTGTTTCTGCTCGGCTGTTCAGCGCAGGGCCAGAGGAGACCCCTCATGCTCAGACAGCCCCCCCCCACTAAATCCAGCAGAAGCCCCCACTCCAGCCTCCAGCCTCTCTCCCTATTACCTCCTCCTGAATCAGCCTGTCATTTGCCAGTTTCTAGAATGCCTTCCCTGACTTGGTGCTCCCCTTACCTGATCCCGAGCTGACTGTTTATTCCCTATCTCCTACACGCCAACCCTCAACCTTGCCCCACCTTTCTATCCCTCTTCAATCCCCAGAACCCCACCCCCACTGGAAGTATGAGAACCCCATCACCTCAGGTCCTTGTCATGCCTCACTGTGGACACGAAGAGGTTGCTATTAGAGAGGGGAGCCAGCTGGGCCCAGCCTCCAGGCTCCCAGATGGAATGGAAGCCACGTCAGATTTGGAAGGCTGGGATGGACAAGCCCGCCCCCCTCTTAGCCCACCTGCCTTGGGCGGGGTCAGGGGTGGGGCCAGAGTGTGGAGGCTCACGTGGGAGAGGAGTTAATGGTTCACTGGTCTCTTGGGTGGGGGTCAAAGGTCAGTCTCTGCTGGGGGCGGGGGGGGGGCGGCGGCCCCAGTAGGGAGGGGCCACCCTCTGCCCCTGGAAAAGCCACATGGCTAAGGAGAATCTACTACTGGTCTTTTCTTCTAAATAATCCACCCCCTAACTCAGTTGGTACTATTTTAGCCTTGCCCTGCACATGCCCCCACCCCACCTACGTTACATCTGGCAGTGGGCTTTATTCAGCTCCACCCCCATCCCCACACTCCCTGGGAAAGTTGGCCCCAGGTGTTCCTAAGCTGCTGAGGAAGGTGAAGAGGCAGATAAGCGGCAGTCCCTCACACGTGGAAAATAAATTGTTTTTAGCAATTCCTCATCCCAGAGAATAGGAGCCAGACCTCTGGGAATCAATGGCTAAGAAAGGGGCAGCTCTGCGGGGACGAGGGAAGTATCTGGGCTCCCCTCAGATGCCCGACCTTGCTTAAGACCAGGAGCCATCTGACTGGGGCAATTGATCCAGGGGGGTCAAGGTTGGTATTACCTGTCAGCAGGAGGCAGAAAGGACGCCCAGAGGAAGGGGGACACAGCCTTCTTGGTAACAGCTGTGAGGTGGGGTAGACAGGCAGTGGGGGCAAGGGTCACCGGCAGGGAGGGGGCAGGGGAGGGACACTACCTTAAAGGGGCAGGCCTGTTTTCCCTAAGCCTCCTTACTGGTGACCAGGCTCCTCTCCACCTCCCAGGGACACACCACGTTCCCAAACGTCCAGGTGCTAACCTCTTCATTTTTCCCACAAAAAGCAAAGGAGTCCAGTACAGAGTGGTAACATTTATTGAGAAAAAGGGATTCAATTAAACTTCCACGTCACACATGAAGAAGAAAGAGACCGTAACTGTTGCTTCTAAAGAGGAAGAAAGGCAGGCACAGGCCCCAAATTCCAGGGCACAGGCAGCTTCAGCTGGACAAGGGGAGAGTATGGGCTTAGGGTGGATAAGGCCACTTCTCACCACCCTTCAGTGAAGTTTAGTGACTAAAATACTGCTACCTACCTCTTCCCACCCACAAACCAGCAGCCCAGTAGAAGGCTGTGTTCTTTAGCAGACACTTGGGTTGTGGTCAGTGGTGGGACTCGAGGAAGAATATCTTGCTATCTCTTGCTGCTCCTCCGGGTTTCTTTGCCGTTACTGACAGGGTTGTTGGAAGAACCAGGAGGGCCAGCAGCTGTGTGGTTGGGCTGGCTCCGGGTAATCCGGGTGCTGGGGGGGTGGGGAGGAGTGTGAGGGGCGTGTGGGCCACCACCAGGACCAGGTGAGGCCGTCAGTCCATTCCCGTTCTGGCTCTCAGAGGCTAGGAGTGGGGAGAGGGGAAGAAACACAGGAATCAGAGAACTAAGGTAGGAGAGGGGTCCATCCCCAGGGCCGCCTCCCAGACCCAGGGAGGAGGAGCCTTCGGTCACGCACAGCTGCACACTGACGCCACTGGGCCAGATGCGAACAGTGTGGGGAGCACGCCCTTCCCCGCGGCCCCAGGGAAGGCTCGGTCATTCTGTAAGGTGCTGCGTGACCTGCAGCTCAGTGTTTTTCTTTTCTTCATCTCTGCATCATTGGGAGTTGGACCTACAGCTATTAAGTTCTAGGCTCAGGGACCTCTGACAAAATGCCCCTTTACCAAAAGTGACTAAAATTTCATAGGCATGGGAAGGGGAAGGGCCTGAAGTGTCTGTGTTATTAGAAGGATTTTTTTCTTTACATTTATTTTAAAAATTTATTTATTTATTTATTTATTTTTAGAAAGAGGGGAAGGGAGAATGTTGATGTGTGATCCGTGGCCTCTTGCACACCCCCAACTGGGGACCTGGCCCACAACCCAGGCATGTGCCCTGACTGGCAATCAAACTGGTGACCTTTTTGGTTCACAGGCGGGCACTCAATCCATGAGCTACACCAGCCAGGGCCAAAAAAATAAATTAAAAAAAAAATTAAAACATCAGAAAGCATGCTTTCTCTCTCTCCCTAGAGCACATCTGCTTGGATCTTCTTTCCCAGGGCACTTTCTCAGCGGCAAGGCCCTTCTTTTGCCTCTGCAACTTGTTTCCTTAGCCCATTTGTTCTAGAGCTCACTTTTACTACCTCTAACTTTCTAAATAAACTCTCTCTGTTTAAAAAAAAGGTACGGAGTGTACCACAATGATACACGTTCATTTTGGAAAGTATGGATTAGAATAAGCAAAATAATTATTACATATACTCTTACCTCACCCCAAATATCAATAATATCATTGTATTTTATTTTATTTTATTTTTAATATTTTATTGATTTATTTTTTAGACAGAGGGGAAGGAAAAAGAGTGGGATTGAAACATCAATGTGTGGTTGCCTCCCATGTGTCCCCAACTTGGGGACCCGGCCTGCAACCCAGGCATGCGCCCTGACTGGGAATCGAACCGGCGACCCTTTGTTTCACAGGCCCATGCTCAATCCACTGAGCCACACCAGCCAGGGCAGTATCATTGTATTTTAAATGTGTGATGGAAGCCAGATGTGTGGGATGACTTCCCCATAATTGCACATATCACTATCATTTATCCTTGCACTTACAGTGTATTACAATCATCGTCTGTGTGACTCTCCTTCATACATGACAAGCTCCTAAAGGCAGGTACTGTGTTTTAATCCTTGGCATCCCTCATCTATAAAAGTTTGTTAAATGGCCCTGGCTGGTGCAGCTCAGTGGATTGAGCACTTGCCTGAAGGCCTGGGGGGTGTCACAGGTTCAATTCCCAGTCAGGGCACATGCTTGGGTTGAGGGCCAGGTTCCCAGTGCACCAGAGGCAACCACACATTGACGTTTCTCTCCCTCTCCTCCCTCCCTTCCCCTCTCTCTAAAAATAAATTAAAAAGTAAAGTTTGTTGCCCTGGCTGGTGTAGCTCAGTGGATTAAGAGACAGCTTGTAAACCAAAGGGTTGCCAGTTCAATTCCCAGTGAGGGCACATGCCTAGGTTCCCGGCCAGGTCCCCAGTAGGGGGTGTGCGAGAGGCAACCACACACTGATGTTTCTCTCTCTCTCTCCTTTCTCTAAAAATTAAAAAAAAAAAGTTTGTTGAATGAAGGCAGCTTGCCTATCTCTCCCATTCATAGGGCACTATGAACCCTAAACAGAGTGGAAGTCATAGGCTAGTGCTTCTCCGGTGACATTCCTGTTGAACCCTGCTCTGCCAGAACTGAAGAATAATAATACCGTTTCCCCGATTCACAGGAAAATGGAGAGCATATAGAAGGTCACTGTTGATACCAGACATGTTTTATTTTGGTAAGCCTTTTGTATCTACTGGCAGAAGACAAAGTGGATAAACACCTGGCAAATGAATATCGGGACAAATAGGCTTAAATGTACCTAATTAAAATATTTTTATGGAGACCTGAAAATATGTAATGGTCGTATTTCCAGTTGAAATCATGGATGTTAATTTTTGTGGTGGAATTAAATGTCACTATTTCATGGTGTTTCCCCCCCAAACACATGACCCCTGGGGGTTCTGACACAAATTCTGACACCGTGGTAACTGGGGATGCAGACACAAACTGAGGAAGGGTAGAGACAGTCTGGAGACTAGTGTCATGGGGAGAAACCTCACGCACGGCTCTGAGGCCAAAGAGAGCCACACACTCAGGGAGCAGTTGGGTCAGTTGAGAGATGACCCAGAGGGAGAACAGAGCAGTAAAAACCAGTTTCCTGAGGAGAGGCCCCCACCAGACAAAGGAGGTGGTGTTGGTGAGCGATTCTAATTAAAAGCTGATGATCTGCAGAAAGGTGTCAATTTTTCAAGAGATCAAAAAAGCAGGGGCTTGAAGTGCATGAGGTGGAAGAATCACAATTCCAAGGCCTAGGACTGGGGCCTTTAGTTTCAAGCAGAGTGGTGGTCTCCCAAAGGGACTATTTAGTGCTAGAAAGCTGTGTGGTGTGGGCTCTGTGTGGAGTCATGGCAGTAACGCTGTATAATGGGTAACGAAGGAAAGGGCAAGGTCTGCCAGAGAAGCAGCAGGCAGAAACAAGCTACGACGAAGGAGTACAATCTTTGGGGACAATCTGTTCTCATTTTTGCCTTTGAGTGGTAGTGGCCAAAGGGTGCCAGGGCTCTGTCAGTGTTGGAAACAGATCCCCAAATCTTGCAAAAGAACTGGGAGATCTGGGTGGAAGGGTATACACTGAGAGAAGAGAGATTTGGAAAATCAGTGAGGGCTGTACATCTCTCCAGGTTTGGGAGAGTAGGGGAGCTAGGTGGTCCAGTGGATGGAAGGGAGCAGGTTTTACCTGGAGACGCAGCAGGGGGTCCAGCGGTAGGCTGGGGAGCGGTAGAGCTGCTGTCGTTCTGCACCTGAAGGCACAAATTACACTCAGACCTTGCTTCCTACCATGCTTCTTGACTGGACCCGCCCTCCCCCACATCATGGCTGTGGGACTCACCGTTTTGTTGGGTGCCTGCTGGGCACTGTACTCTGGGTTTGGCTCACTGAAATTAGGAACCTCGGAGTAAACCATACAGAATCTGCAAGGGGAGAAGGTGGCCACAGCCTCAGGCCCATCCTTTGGACCACTGCTGGAGGCCTCAGAAAGGTCCAGATATGGGACATAACTGCACACCCTTATGCTGCCTCCTTTCTTACAAACTTTGAACTTACTCTCTTGGCCTGCTGCTTCTAACATCCCAATCCCCAAGCCAGCACTTACTCTCCAATCTTCTGAAGATCACCCCCACGGCCAGTGTACAGCGTCAGACAGCCTTTGAACACTGAAGCGTACCTGTGGGGGTACAAAAAGCAGGACTCAGAGTACTCAGAAGAGTTACTGGGGCTGTAACCCACCCTTCTGACTGTTACTGCTCTTGGACAACCAAGGGTCACCAGCTAGCTTACCCTTTGGTAAGTCGGATAATGTCCCCAGGTTGGATCAGGTTGCCCACGTCATCCCAGACAGAGATATTGATGCTGCCTGTTTTGTCTGCCACTTTGCAGGTCCGAACCTCGTGGCCATCCTTTGTCTTGGTCACTCGGCCTGGTGGGAATAGATAAACGGCCAGAGGAATGGTCAGAAGGGTGAGATCTAGATATATTGATGGGATGAGGGGAAGTTGTACAAACAGGATAAAGCCAAATCTCTGGGGTAGGCTGGGGTGGGGAATGGAGGGGCTGCACCATGGAGAGGGCCCTGAATGCTTTGAAAGAGGCCCTTGTGGCACCGGAGGCTTGGATCTGGTGAGATTCCATCTACCCTACATCTCACTGCAACTATCTGGGCTGGGGTCTAGGAGAGCAACTGGGCATGAGCCATGTCTTAGGGTGCGTCCTGCCACCCAGGGAGCAAGTTAAAAACGGAGGTGATATTTTTTCCCCATCAGCCCCCCAACCCTGAGAATCCCCCCGCCCCCAGAGGGCCCACTGCCCCAGCATAGCCACCTGTCTCCAGCACAATGAAGATGAGGTTCAGATTCTTGAGCCCGGGCTTGATATCCTTCACGAAGGTCTCTGTCGTCATGCTGCCACAGCCTCAGCACCCCACTAGAAAGGGGAAAAGAGGATGAAGGCTCAATGCTTGGAGCGTTCGCCCCCATGCTCCACTTTCCAAGATCTACCTACCACAATCGGCTGGGGTCAGGCAGCCTCAAACCCTCTTACTCTTCTAAAAGGTTAGAAACGAACTTCCCTGGGGGCCTCCAACTTCAAGATCAGAATTTGGGTGTCTCTGGATAGGCTGCTTCGGGGCTGGAATGCCCCTTCCCGAGATGCTCTTTCAGTCTCAAGCCACGAGTTGGGGGAGCCGACGGAGAGGTGGGTAAGGAACCCGGTGCAGAGCCAGGGAATAGAACCTTAGTCTCCAAACCTTCCCGAACCCTCATACGGACCAGCCAGGACTCGGTCCATCCCCTCCCCCACCCACAGCCCACCACCCACCCAGGCAGTCGGCAGGACAGTGTATGCTGCCGAACTACCCGCAGGGGGAGCTACATGCCCCACTGCCGCCGGATGCAGCTCATTGGAACTAGGGAGTGCGAGCCTTCCCGGAAGTTCCCCATAGCCCCCTTCAACCAATCAGCACCGCATTGGAGCGCTCCGCCTCTGGCTCTACCCAGCCAATCCGGACCCGAGATTCAAGCGCCGCGAAGGGGGAGTATTCCCGGTATTCAGAGAGGCTGAGAACTAATGGCCTTAGCAATGAGAAACATAGACCACCAGGGGACGCCTCGGGTTCCAATTTTTCTTTACTTGACAGGGAGAATGCTCTTAGGACAGGGGTGTCAAACTCATTTTCACTGGGGACCACATCAGCCTCGCGGTTACCTTCAAAGGGTCGAATGTAATTTCAACTCCATAACAGTTAAGGAGTAGTTACATTTATACAGTCCTAAAATTACTTCGGCCCTTGAAAGGCAACCGTGAGGCTGATGTGGCCCTCCGTGAAAATGAATTTTCCACCCCTGATTAGGACCTAATATTTTGTTTCTCTCCTAGATGTGACACAGTGCAGAAAGGACCAAGGGTTTTGGAATCTTGCAGACAAAAGTTTGAAACCTGACACAGCGCTTCATTTCTTTCCTGACAATTCTTAAATATGTAGTTTTGCAGACAAGCAAATGGAAATTAAAAGCAGTGCATAGCATGCGGCAAGCAGTTTACTCTTCTCCCACTGCTTTAACCCTCATCTTTTTTCCTGGTTTGGGGTCCTTCATCACTAACACACTATCTAGATTGGTCAGGGTTTCCAAAAGTGGCATTCACATCACAGACAATAGGCAGACTCGGCCCCTTGGAAGAAATGGGACCTTGGGTAGAGAGCAACATTTGCATTAGTCCCTCTCACAATTGTAAACGCACTTGTTCCCAATGCTGTAATCTCACTGATCTTAGCCCCCAACTCCCAGATGACTGAAAAGAAGAGACCTGAACCTTTAGTTCCTTTTGGAACTTGCTGGTCAACAAAAGGTAGCCAGCTCAGTGATGTTGTGCATAAGCCAAATACACATAAAACAAATGCACATATATGTGCATTACAATGTTTTGTGAATATCCATAGCAAATACTACTTAATATCGGATCAGCCTAAGAGGTCGTTTAATTGTGATGCCTTCGCTGCTTAATTAATTAATTAATCCCTTACTTTCCTCTATAGCGCTTTAAGGCTCCCCATGGACTTTCCTCGGAGCTCAGATTCTCTTCCGCCCACCCCCAACCGAAGTGCTGCATTCTAAGGAAATCAAACCCAGAAAGAGGGACATTTAAGCTCCCTTCTCTCCTCTTAGGTGTTTCAGGGAATTCTATGAGCGATCAGACAGCCGATGTATACGGCAGGAGTACGGCTAGTAGGGAAAGAGGCAACCCACTGGACACCCTAGATCAAAGCTTTGCGATCAGATACTGCCCCATTCCCCAAGCGTTGGTTGCCTTATTGACACAGAATCCACTCCCATGACTATGAGTCATAGGGTCGGAAGGCTCTGGGACGCTGAGCACGTCTCTGGAAAACACAGAGGGTCCTGGCAGGTGGCAGGTCACACTGCAGGCCAGTCAACTCGAGACGATCTCGTACCACACCGCATTAGCCCCAGGACACAGGACACGTGCGCCCCTCCAAAGCGAAGTCTCGCCCCTCAGGGAAGCCAGCCCTAGAATTCGCCCCTGACGTTCCCACAGGGGAGTATAGAGTCCTCCCTCCGAATAGCTATATAGTCCTTGTTGGGACCACAAAGACTTCCGGTCTATAGCGGAGGCCTGGCTAGCTTTCCTCCCTTTTCGTTGGCCGCCAGTAGCTTCCAGCCTACGTCTGAGTTAAAACAAAGAGGCGGGTTTGGTGACGAGCTTCCGCCCGCGTTGCGTAGCAGCGGTGGGCGGGGTAAAAGACTGTCTCAACAGCTCCGAGTGGTTGGAACCTTTCTCCCTCTCCTTCCCTTCCCCTTCCCCTCCCAGGAAAGGCTGAGACACGGCACCGGGGCTGTCCCGTGGCGGCTGCGGCCTCAGCTACTACCCGGCTGGGGTACGGAAAGTCCAGGCCGCTTCCAGGGCGGTGCGTACTGCGCCTGCGCGGGCTCACACCTAAAAGAGGGTGTGGGAAGGGAGGGGGCGATGTCCCAGGTATTGGAGCCGGGGTTCGAGATATTGGAGGGCAGGATAAGGGGTGGGAGTAAAGATGAAAAATGGAGGAAGGGAGCAGCCATAGGAGGAGTCGGGAGGTGAAAATGGGGTGCAGGAGGGTGGATTGTTGGGGAACTCCATTGGAGCCTTAAGAAATGCGGGAGGGTGCCTGCGCGGGCTGGAGGACAAGGAGGAGGGGACCTGGGTGAACATCGTGGTGTTTAAATGGGCAGTGATTGACGGGTTGGGAGAAGAGAGCATTCTGGGGGCTAGCCCCAGCAGGGGTGGTGGAACCTGAACCCCCGCCCTCTAAGCGCCATAGCTTGGCTCCTCTCCCATGCCTTGTCTTTGGCAGCCTTGTCTTCCTCTTCCATTCCTTCCCCCTTCTCCCCCTCCTACCCTTCCATGAAGGAATCTCACATTCCTTACATCCCTGCCCTGAGTTTGCGGCCAAGCCCTCTTTGCAGGCTTCACACACCGGAAAGCCTTCTCCAATGTAGGACATGGAAAATAGAGAAATGGGGAGGAGGGGTCTGAAGAAGGAGCAGAAAGCTAAGAGGGGTGAGGGTGTTTTGCCTGAGGGACTCAAAGGCCTTGTCCCCATTCAGAAGCTGACTTTTTTCTGCCCAATAGCAAATTTGGCTCTTGGGATCACTGAGCACTGTTCTTGGGGACTGGGCCGTGATAGTGATAGTCTAATCCCTTACTGTACAGGTGGTTTTAGAATCTGACAATGGGACAGTAAGCTGCTGGCTGATAGTTTTCGCCCAAGTAGACTAGTGGTAGCAAATCTGAGTGATGCAATAATGTAAATACCCTGTGTGTCCGGCTGACTTGTGGCTGGGCCTGGTTCCCAGTAATTGAAAAGAAGAAACAAGCTTCTTTCAAGCATTTCTTTACTGGTCCTCAGTACTCTAAATTTATTTTGCATTCCGTTACTACAAATACCTTGCCTGAGAATAGCAGTATTAGTATGCTTTCACATTTATTATGCCATTTGATTTTTCAGGACAACATGTAAGGTAGAAGGCAGGTAATCATTTCCCCTGCTTGACAGAAGGGTTACATGGCTTGCTGAAAGTCATACAGTTGACACCCTGGGACCAGAAGCTAAATCTCCTGACTCCTGGTCCTCCTCTCAGTTGAAAAAATCCTGTTTTGTTATGGCCGAGGGAGCATTGAAGTAGGATTAACTTCCCCAGCATGAGCAACTGTTTACTTTCTAAGTCTGAAACTTGTCACTAGAAGAGGACTGAGTGGAGCCAGCAGCACTGGTTCCTAGAGGCATTTCTTGAGGTATGGCGCATATGCCAGGGTGCTGGGCAGTACCGTGTTGTCAAAGTGGAAGAAGCTTTATACCCTCCTTTGTATTATGGATGGGGAGAAACATATCATCTTACTCCCATCCCCCAACCACAGGGAAGAGAATGTGTGGTCTGGCATTGCACCTTTATCTCTGATTAGTTTAAAAATAGCACACTGAAGGTGTTGTGGCTGATGAGCGTAGTCGAGGAAGGAGTATGTGTACCAGACTCAGAAGACGAAATGGTCCCTGTTTTATGTATCAAAATCATCATCATCCTATATCTTCCTCATGCAGCCCTTAATCTATTGACAGACGTGTGGGGGTGAGGAAAGGAGTTTGGATGGCGGCTGTTCTGCATTGTGTTGAATTGATCTCTCAGCACTCTGCGTTCAAAACCTTGTCTCCCTCTGCTTGGTTTCATCCTTTTAGTAATGAGTGTCTCTTGAGCCTGATCATACTGCTACCTCTAACCTTCTCAGTTGCTACCTTGGAATAATTTCCCATTTTACTGCTTTTTTTAAAGCCTGATCCCCTCACAAATATTGTTGTTCTCACTTGGGAAGTTGAATTGCATCTCTACCAACATTCTTGAGTATCTTCTCCTAATGAAATAGTATTTTCGAATTGGAGGATAGGACCAGAATTCTTTTTACATGAAAGCACTTTGGAAATATGAAAGCATCATACTGTGCGTTTAAGGTATCGTGGATCTAGGCATTGTATAACCACAAATCTAGAATCTTATACTGGTAGTTATTTGCACAAATAAAAGAAACTGTGGACTTCACACTTCTCCCCTTTTCTGCCTTTCTTCTTGTCCTTTTTTCTCCATCTCAGGTATGTTTGAACCCCCCGGGCCATGCATGTGATCCCTTAGCCAAAGGTTTCGCTCTGTAGGCGGGAGTCCTGTATACCTAGCATAGAAACCTTAATGAGTTGTCTCATCCTTCGCACCCAACTGCCAGATCTGAGTCTGACCAGTCTTACCGCCAAGTGGAGGTCCTTACCCTGACTCACCTTTTTCTTCCTTGTTCCTATTAATAGAGTGCTCCTGATTGTGACATCACACCCATCCCTTTGGTGATAGAACTTACTCTGGGAAGGAAGACTCAGTTGGAGAATAGCCAACAAGATGGGTTACTGGGAGCCTCTCCTGAGTGGCACTGAGTGGAGGCATCAGGGGGTTGGAGCCTTGTGAACAGGGAACCTGCCCCCCAACACTTGGAAGGTAAAGAGCCTTGATTCAGAATCCCATTCCAGGCTTCAACCCTCTTCTCTGCCATTTTGGGTTGCTTCTGCTCTTGAAAACTTGTCCCTTAAAACTCCTTTCTGCATAAATCTTTACAAGATTGGCCCACATAAGTCTGTTGTTCTTTGTATTTTTATGCCTCAGTGTTCTTTTTCCAATCGAAGAAGAAAGTTGATTTAGAAAGTCATACACAAAGGTAGGAAGAAGTGAGCCAGCTGGGCCTCATGGGCTCAGGAAACAAGTTACATAGGCAAAAGGAGGGCCCTCGTAACTTAGGAGAGTGAAAGGCAAAGGTTCTGTGTCTGGGGGAAGGAGAAGGGAGAAAGGCATGGGTATGTTCCCCAAGAGAGCAGTGCCTGAGAAGGGGGTGGGGGGGAGGCACTGGTTGTGTGTGTGTGAGAGAGAGAGAGAGAGAGAGAAGGAGGGAGGGAGGGAGGGAAGGAAGGAATTAACTTTTACCTATTGGTAAATTGCTTAGTAAATTTCATGTCTTTTTATGTGCTTATGCTGGATACTCACTCAGTGGGCTCAAGCCTACACTTCCATTTGACAAGGATTATGCTTTCCAGTTCTTTTCTTTGTCTCTCCTGTCATGGGAGCTGTGTCTGTAGGGTGAAGATGAGATTCCAGGTAATCACACAAATAGTATTTGGTGCTGGTAACCAGGTGATAGGTCCTGGCTGCCTCATTTTAGGTATCAGATGAATTCTTTTTATTTATTTTTTATTGTTCATTTACAGTTGTCCCCATTTCCCCCCCATTACTCTCCCTGCCCAACCTACCCCCCTAGGTATTAGATGAATTCTTGAAGAATTGTATATCCTCTAGATTCTGTTGTAAACTGAATCCATTAAAATGGTTTCACTTTACAATACTAAAGAAGCCTAGTTTTAAAATCCTCGGAAGTAAATCCAGCGTTTTGGAATTGAACAAAAACTTAGAGGGAGTGTAGCCCATTCCCTCATTTCAAAGATGAGGAAAATTAGTTCCTAAGAACTCAGTTCTCTATGAGGAGATGTGACTTCAGTCTAAGGATTCTACTGCTTAAATAAAAAGACTCTTTCCTTTCACTTAAAAAGTCAAAAGAGTTGCCCAAAGAGAGCAAGGTCAGTTAGTGGTAAAGCCAGAACACCTAATTTACTTATTTTTGTTTTATACGCTGAATCTGAGAATCATGGGGCTTGTAGAACACTTTAGAACGTACGTAGTTGTGGGAGGATTTGAGATCTCCCTCCCTGGCATATGTTGTCAATTTGGCTCAAATAAATGCTTACAAAACTTAAAACAGTTACATAGTTCAGGATGTTTGATTTCTTTACTTTTTTAATGTTTTTATTTTTAAAGATTTTTTAAAGGAGGTTATTTATTTATTTTTAGAGAGGGGAAGGAGGGAGAAAAAGGGAGAGAAACATTAATGTGTGGTTGCCTTTTGTGCACCCCTACTGGGGACCTGGCCCACAACCCAGGCATGTGTCCTGAATGGGAATTGAACTGGCAACCCTTTGGTTTGCAGCCCGGTGCTCAATCCACTGAGCTATACCAACCAGGGCAGGATAATGTTACTTTCATTTTGCCTCCTGCTCTAATGATAACTGATTTTCTTAAAGAAATTAAATCCTAGCCCTGGCTGGTGTAGCTCAGTGGATTGAGCATGGGCCTGCAGACCAAACAACCACGGTTCGATTCCCAGTCAGGGCACATGCCTGGGTTGCAGGCCGTTTCTCAGCAGGAGACACACAAGAGGCAACCATACATTGATATTTCTCTCCCTCTGTCCTTCCCTTCCCCTCTAAAAATAAATAAATAAAATCTTTTTAAAAAATAAAATAAGTTTATAAAAAAAGAAATTAAACCCTGCAGAAATATATAATCTATATTGAAAGCATAATCTCAGCTTCTAGATTTTTAAAATGTGCACACTATGTATGTTACTTTTTATTTTTAATTTTATAAAAATTGGCCCTGGCTGGCGTGGCTCAGTGGATTGAGCGCGGACCTGTGAACCAGAGTATCGCGGTTCGATTCCCAGTCAGGACACATGCCTGGGTTGCAGGCCAGTTCCCAGCAGGGGACACATAGGAGGCAACCATACATTGATATTTCTCTCCCACTCTTTCTCTTTCCCTTCCCCTCTCTCGAAAAATAAAATAATAAAAAAAAATTGGACCATACTATATTTTTGCAATTTGCATTTCTCAGTTTGAGAGGCACATTATCACTGGTTAAAAGATTAGACTCTGGAGCCAGTCTTCCTGGGTTTGAATATGCTGAAGCACTCACTAGCTCTGTGGTTTTGGACAAATTGTCTAACCTTTGTCACTGTTATTCATCTGTAAAATATGGACAATGAGAGTCCCTGCTTCACAGAGTAACTCATAGAGTTGTAAGAATTAGATAAGGTAATATATAAGAAATGCTTAGGGTAGTGCCTAGCATATAATGCTTAATAAATGTTGACTTAATTATTATTTAATTGTATAAGTAAAACATGATCATTGTAGAAAAAGTAGGGAAAACCAATAAAGAAAAACTGAGTGAGCCCTGGCTGGTGTAGCTCAGTGGATTGAGTATGGGCCTGGGAACCAAACAACCTTGGTTCAATTCCCAGTCAGGGCACATGCCTGGGTTGCAGGCCAGTTCCCAGTGGGGGATGCACAAGAGGCAACCACACATTGATATTTCTCTCCCTCTCCTTCCCTTCCCCTCTAAGGCTAAATAAATAAAATCTTTAAAAAAAACCTGAGTGAAATTCAAATTATTATAAGTACATTTAGAGACAGCCTCTTTAATGTACATCCTTCTAGATGCTATCCAATATAAATGTGTTCACACATAAATATAAATATACTATTTAATAAATGACACCATAGCATATGTAATGTACATAAATGTTAATTAATTATATAATAATGTTATTAATAAACATGGTATCTCATTTTCTGGATATAAGGAATTCTGCTGGATATTTGCAGGATTTTGTTATCTTTTTTCTATTATAAACAATGATTAGATAAACTACCCGGTATACTGGTTTTATACCCTTGTGTAATTATGTCCTTAGGCTAAGTTCCTGGAAATGAGTGCTAGGTAAAACTATATGTACTTTTTTGGGGGGATATTCCCTACTTTTTTGTTGTAATCCAATTTGATCAGCTTTTTCTTGCAAGAGTACATTGTTTCACCCTGGCTGGTGTAGCTCAGTGGATTGAGGGCGGGCTGCGAACCAAAAGGTTGCCAATTCGATTCCCAGTCAAGGCACGTGCCTGGGTTGCAGGGTAAGGTCCCCAGTGGGGGTGCGAACAAGAGGCAACCACACACTGATGTTTCTGTCTGTCCTCCCTCCCTTCCCCTCTCTAAAAATAAATAATAAAATCTTTTTTAAAAAGAGTTCATTGTTTCTAGACCTTGCTATATTACATGTTATATGTATGTCATGTGTGATATATTACATATATGATATATAACATTACATGGATATTTTAGATTTTTGTTTTAATCTTAATACTTTCTCAATTTAGGGTAATTACAGATTATTTATTTGAATAGTGAATACACACAACTGTATTCTTTTTTTATTTTGTTAGTTTTTTATCCTCACCTGAGGACATTTTTTCATTGTTTTTAGAGAGAGAGGAAGGTAGGGGGAGAGAGACAATTGGTTGTCTCCCATACATGCCCCTACTGACCAGGGACTGAATCTGCGTCCTTTCAGTTTACAGGACAAGGCTCCAGCTAAGAGCCATACCAGCCAGGGCTGTCACACTGAAAATCTTTTTTTTTTTTAAGATTTTATTTATTTATTTTTAGAAAGAGAGGGAGAGAAACATCGAGCAGTTGCTTCTCACACGCCTGCCAGCGGGGACCTGTTCCACAGCCCAGGCACAGGCCCTGACCTGTTCAGCTTGTGGCTGATGCCCAGCTCACTGAGCTACCAGACAGGGCTCACACTGGGAATCTTTAAAAAAGGCACAAAGAGCCCTGGCTGGTGTGGCTCAGGTGATTGCCGTGTTACCCTATAAACTGAAAGATTGTGGTTTCCATTCCTGGTCGGGGCACATGCTGGAGTTTTGGGTTTGGTCCTGGGTTAGGGTGCATGGGAGAGGCAAACTTGAAGTTTCTCTCCCTCTCCCTTCCTTCCCCCTCTCTAAAATCAATAGGCATTTACTCTGGTGAGTACTAAAAGAAAAGGCACAAAGGCCCCAGCTGGTGTGCTAAGTGGATTGAGTGCTGGCTTACAGACCAAAGGGTCACTGGTTCAATTCCTAGTCAGGGCATGCGCCTGGGTTGTGGGCCAGTTCCCCAGTGGGGGGCGTGCAAAAAGCAACTACACATTGATGTTTTTCTCTCTCTTTCTCCTTTCTTTCCTTTCTCTAAAAATAAATAAATAAAAATCTTTAAAAAAAAAAGAAAAGGCACAAAGGGATAATTAAGGATATTAAAATTTTCCTCCTCTGTTCCTTAGTTACCCCTCCTCAGCAGCAACCACTATAGGTAATTTCCTCTCTATTCTTCTGGAGAGTTCTATGCATATGTAAGCATGTACACGTACATAGTTTTTTGTGCTCATGGTGGCATCCTTTATGTTTACCATTCCATATCTTAGCTTTTTTCTCTTAACAGTACGTCTTGGCAGTCTTCATACCTGGTACATTTTAAAGGCAGCCATATTTTTTCCCTGTGATTTTGTAGCTATTGAACAGAAACTAAAGTACAATCTGTTTATTTAATTGAGGTAGGTATTGTATAGTTAGCAGTTCAATAGATGAATTACAGATATTTGGAGGTATATTTGCTTTCATTTAGAAGCCGTCTCAGCCCTGGCTGGTGTAGCTCAGTGGATTGAGCACGGGCTGCGAACTAAAGCATTGCCAGTTCGATTCCCAGTCAGGGCACATGCCTGGGTTGTGGGCCAGGTCCCCAGTGGGGGCCATGTGAGAGGCAACCACTCATTGATGTTTCTCTCCCTCTCTTTCTCCCTCCCTCTAAAAATAAATAAAAATAAAATCTTAAAAAAAAATAGAAGCATCTCAGAGAGCCCCTCTTCGTGACTTTCTCTCTTACCCCTGCCCCTTCTGCCCAGCCTGGTGTCTGTACTACAAGAATGGCGGTAGCTATCATCTGGAACAGCAGTAACCAGTCTTAGGTTGCATTCATTGAAGTAGAGAGGACAGAAGGTAAGAGTCCCAGTCTGTCCATATTGGACAGTCCACTTGTGGAACTCTGGGTACTTTATTTTAGAAGGACACAGGCATTCTAGAATGATATGAGAGAAGTGTGTCTGGGCTGAATACTTCTCATCTGTGCTCTTTCTATACCCTGTGTTGACTTTTCCCAGGAGTGTCTGGGCACCGTGCGGCTGACTGTTGGGTCCTATCTACAGGATTCGGCCCTGGGATGTTAAACTGGATCATGTCTATGGCCCATTCTAACTCTAAAGGCAAAAATAAGACTGTCTTAACCCGGTCAATGGGAAAACTTCTGAGTATGATCAATTCTGCCGTCTTTTATTCCTGTACTTCAAAAGTAAAAGCATTCCTGTATTTTTTCTCAAATAGTTTCTAAATTTTTTTTTTTTTTTTTTTTTTAGAAAGAAGGGAAATGAGGGAGAAAGAGAGGGAGAGAAACATCAATGTGCGGTTGCCTCTCATGTGTCCCCTACTGGGGACCTGGCCTGCAACCCAGGCATGTGCCCTGACTGGGAATCGAACCAGCAATGCTTTGCTTCACAGGCCCGTGTTCAATCCACTGAGCTACACCAGCCAGGACTAGTAATTTCTAAATTTATTTATTTATTTATTTATTTATTTATTTATTTATTTTTAAAGCTTTTATGTATTTATTTATTTTTTTTAGATTTTTTTATTTATTTATCTTTAGAGGGGGAAGGGAAGGAGAGAGGGAGAGAAACATCAATGTATGGTGGCTTCTCATGTGTCCCCTGCTGGGAACTGGCCTGCAGGGAACTGGCTTGCAACCCAGGCATGTGCCCTGACTGGGAATCGAACCGCAATTATCTGGTTCACAGGTCCATGCTCAATCCACTGAGCTACACCAGCCAGGGTGTAATTTCTAAATTTTTAAAAATTATTTTTCTGTATTTGTGTAAGACAAATTGAATTAGGATTTTTTACAAAATGTATGCTCATTGAAATATTTGGTAATTAAAAATAGAAGAACATTATCCTTGGTTATACATCCAAATAAACCACTGTTAACATTTTGATATTTCCTTCTGATCTCTTTTCTTTTTAAAATGTATTGGTTTTGAGAGAGGCAGAAAGGAACATCAATTTGTTGTTCCACTCATGCATTCATTGGTTGATTCTTTTTTTTCCAATTTTTAAACAAATATTTTATTTATTTTTAGAGAGAAGGGAAGGGAGTGGGAGAGAGAGGGAGAGAAACATCAGTGCGTGTTTGCCTCTCATGCATCCCCTACTGGGGATCTGGCCTGCAGACCAGGTATGTGCCCTGGCTGGGAATTGAACCAGTGACCCTTTGATTCATAGGCCATGACTCAGTCCACTGAGCCACACCAGCCAGGGTTCATTGGTCGATTCTTGTATGTGCCCTGACCTGGCATCAAACCCACAACCTTGGTGTATTGTGATGATGCTTTAACCAACTGAGCTACCTGGCCAGGGCCTCCTTCTATACTCTTTTTATATATGGATTATTTGTCAGTATTTGTTTTTTAAACAGATCTGTATTTAATTTTGTGTCCTACTTTTTTTCCACCTATTACTATGTTATTGCATAATCCCCAGAAACATCACTTAAAATAAATATATTATTCCATCAAATGGGCTCATTACCATAATCACTTAACTATACTTTAATTGTTGATTTAAATGAGTAAGTATTTTTGAATAAATGATTATCTGATTTTTAAAAGTTTACTGGTATGATGTTTAAAAATCTGTATGGGCCTCTTTTTCTATCCTTCTTCTTCCTTTCCTGCTTCATCCCCCTTCCTGTGTAACTGAATTCCAGATCACCACCCTACCTACCTCAGCCTCAGTGATTAGATTCTCTCCTGTCTTTATCTTTCCCCTTCACTAGTGCTTTCCTGTTGGTACATAAACGTGCTCACGCGTGTCTTACAAACAAAAACACCCCACCTGGTGCCGTCCTGTCAGGTCGCTGGGTTTGTGACTTGTCTGCGAGCCCCTTCAACAACCAGGAAAGTGGGCAGAAAGGGGGGAACGGCAAGAGGGATGACATAGCTTTATGACGCCAGTGCTGTGGTATGCGTGTCAGTGAATTGGTGCCGATTTACAGTTCTCATTTTTGTGCCAATAAAAGATTTTTGAAATTAAAAAAAAAACACAAAGAAACACAACTCCAACACAACCCACTCCCTAAACTCCTGTCTTCCTCTAGCTAGTTGTCTTTCTCTTAATCAAGAAAATTAGGCTTTTTAAAAAAATGTTTTATTTATTTATTTATTTATTTATTTATTTATTTATTTATTTATTTTTAGACAGAGGGGAAGGGGGGGAGAGAAGCATCAATGTGTGGTTGCCTCTCACATGGCCCCCACTGGGGACTGGGCCCACAACCCAGTCATGTGCCGTGACTGGGATTGAACCGTGACCCTTTGGTTCGCAGCCCGCGCTCAATCCACTGAGCTATACCAGCCAGGGCCAAAATCAAGTTTTTGATGAGTTACTTCCAGGTCCTGTCTCTCTCTCTCACCTCTTGTACAACTTGAACTACTGCAGTCTGGCTTGCATTTTCGGTAGCCAGACTAAGGTGGTTGACCATGACAATTGCAAGGGATTATTAGTAAGCCCGAGGCCCTGAACTTTAAGGGCTTAGAGATGGATGGACAAGCACATAGAGAAATGGTGGTCATGGAGGCCAGTGTAGTTGTAGTAATGTCACCGAGTGTCACGGGATCTGTATACAGTGGATAAAGACAGATAAGTGGTTCTAGAGGGAGCCTTGTGATTTCTTGTACCCATAAGCTTGTGTATTCATCAGGATTTTTATCATTTGAAAGAGACAAAAACCCAGCTCAAACCAGCCTAAACATAATAAGAGAATTTATGTGTCCATGTAACTGATGTTGAAAAGCTGATTGTGGCTTTACATGTGGCTGAACCCAGGACCTCAAAGAATCTCATCTGAATCGGATCTCTTAGCTCTACATTCTTTACTGCCAGCTTCGTTCTGTGAGCAGGCTGACCTCCTTAATGGCAGGGATGGTTACCAACCACTCTGATTTGTACATTCTACCAGCTGTGCAATCCCAGGGGAAAGAGCTTACCCTGTGAGCTCCTGTAGAGGTCCCAGGTACCCCCAGCTCAATGTCCCGGGTAGGGTCACATGTCCACTAGGACATGGGTAAGATTCCTAAGGAAAAACTGGACAATAAGATGTTAGGTAAGTAAAAGAGTAGATGTCCACTCTATTCTGGTTGCTGGGAAGCTCCCAGTTAAAAGTAACATTTAAATTTTTTTTTTCTAGAAAAAGGGGAAGGGAGGGAGAAAGGGAGAGAAACACTGATGTGTGAGACAAACATTGATCAGTTTGGATGGAGTCCAAGCTCTCTAAGGGCCGGCCCTGTGTGCCTCCAGCCTTGTGTACTTAGACACTACTTCCCTTGTGCCCTTCAGGTTAGCATGAACACTTAGCGTTCCCCGAACCCATCATATGCTGCTTACTTCCGGGCCTTTGAATGTGCTACTTCATGTGCCTACTGCCTGTCCTGCCCCGTCCCCATCACCTAGCTAACTTGCTTGTCCTGTTGGTGACACCTAGTCCTAGGAAGCTTCCAGATCACCATCGTCTTTCAGCCTGGGTTGGGTATCTACGTCTCCTGCCTTCATAATGTCCTATACTTACTCTATCAAAGCATTTACCACTTCATATTTTAAACGCGTGCTATGTAGTGTCTTTTCGCATTAGAATGAAGTTTCTCATCATTCCCCCTCCAACATGACTAGCACATAGTAGGCTCTCAATAATAATTGTTGGGCAAATGAATGGGTCTTAGCAATGAGTTCAAGTTGGCACGTGTTTGTAGTCTTCTTCTGAACTGGCCTTTTTTTCCTGTGTGGTTCCTTCCAGGCCCTGGGTTTCAGTGATGAGACATGGGGTATGATGTAACCCGCTTCCAGGGGGATGTTGACGAAGATCTTATCTGTCCTATTTGCAGTGGCGTCTTGGAGGAGCCAGTCCAGGTGAGTCGGTCTGATGGCAGGTTTACTGGGGCAGTAGACCACAGTGGAGCTAGCAGAAAGTATTCATAGGTAATGGGACCAGTGGGGACCTCACCGTTCTGACTCCCCATGGCCCTCCTGACCCCCTTTACACACATACAGAGTAGAGGTTTGGGGCAGAGGGGCAGTGGCGACTCTGAGAGGAACAGGCCCTTCCAGAGTCTGTCTAGAGGTGGATGCACAGAAGTCCAGTGCTGCAGATTTTCTTCTCAGGTCACTGCGATTTTTCTGCTGGAAAATGGTCAGTTGTTTGTTTTTGTCTTTTGACAGCAGCTTGAGGACTTCCTTTCCTCTGCAGGGTCCCTGGCTAGGTTCTTACTTCCCACCCATGACTGAACTTCTGGACTCTCCAGATGAGTCCTCTCTGCATTGTGACGGTGTATTTTGGGTAGTCGGCCAGTCTCCTGCAGGCCCTGCTACTGCCTAACAGATAGTAAGTGGGGAGCTGCAGGGACTGACCTATTTTCTTCCTGGGACTCACTGGGAGACCAATTTTGGAGGCAGCCATGTGCTCTGCCTTTGGTGTGAAGGCTGCCGCCCACAGTAGGTCGTTTCTCCACCAGCCTTGCCAGACCAGACTCAGTGTGTCTTCCTGGGGCAAGTAGGAGGAGAAGCTCATGATTAACAGGCAAGTGTAATGAACGCAATGAATTCTTTTCTTTCATTTACTCTTTATTGTAGTTTCTTCCATGACCATTAGGTCCCTTTATACTCCCTGCCCTCTGTGATGATGAATTCTTAACAGTTGTGTTCCTTGGACATCGTCATCATCCTGCATGGTCCTTATTGTCTGGACTCTGCAAATACCAGGTCATCCTCTGCCACTCCTGGCTAGCTACAGGTATCCCATTTTCCAGACCGGGACACTTGTCCCTGAAGTCCTGTGGCCCTTCTGCACTCACTCACTGCTCACACAACTCAGTGCATCCTGGCGCTCCTTGACCCTCTGAGTTTTTCTTACTGTCCAGTTCTCACCACCCGCAGGAGCACAGACGCCCAAGTTGAATGCGCACCAGCCTGTATTCCGTCGGCAGATTGCCCTGGATCCCTTTCCTGTCTTCCAGGCCTTTGCAGCCTCCTGCTATTAGAAGCAGATTGACTGGGAGTGGAGCAAGCTAGCTCAGTGTTGTCAGGAGGTCAGGGGTGTGTCCGTTCCCTCCCCACGCTGGCAGGGCCTTGTCTGTTTTCTGGCACTGTCATTTGAGGTGAGGTGTGTGGGAGGTCAGTGGCAGTTGCTGACTGTCTGTCAGAAGCCCCCCCCACAACATCAGGGTTCACTTTCCAAGGAGCAGGCCCGGCAGACCTCGTGGCGCCAGGTTAGCAGCCACATTTCCAAGGGCAGGAGGCCCCTGCCGGGGATGCTGATGTCCCTACATCATATTTGTTTATTTTTTGAATAGGTAATAAATTCATATGGTTCAGAAATCAAAACAGTATAAAAAGGTATCCAGTGAGTACTCTTGCATCCTCGTCCCAGTCCACCTAGTCCCTTCATCGGTATCTGTTAGTTCACTTGGAGTCCCTCCAGTATGTGTGCACAGGTACACGCACGTTTGAATATAATACAAAAATCTGCCCACCTTTCTCCCATGGAAAGATAGTTCATTCTCTGTATTTCTGTAGGGGTGGCAGGTTTAGTTAAGATGGTCACAAAAGAGGTGACAGTTGAGCTGAGATCTGAATAAGGGACTATTCATGCTAAGATTTAGAAGAAGAGCATTTCAGGCAAAGAGCAGCAGAAGCAAAGGTCCTGAGGTGGGAATGAGCTGGGTGTGGACGAGGACAGGAAGAAAGCCCGAGCACAGGGCTGGGAGTGTGGCATGAGGTGAGGAGAGGGCAGAGGCGCGGGGCTGGGTCAAGCAGAATTCGACAGGTCCTGAACAGGGGTTTGGATTTATGTTAACTACAATGGGAAGCCATTGTAAAGTTGAAAGCAGGGGAGTGAGATAATCTAGTATGTTTTTTTAAATGATCACTCTGGCTAGAATGGTAGAATGGAACATAAAGGGGTGGGCAAGGTAGAAGGAGGGAGACCATTTAGAAGACATATTTAGTAATAGAGATGAGACATGATCATTTGAACCGGGTTAGTGGTTGTAGAGATAGGGGAAAAGTTGACAAATGTAAGATTTTTGGGGGGACATAAGGTTGTCTTTGAGAGAAAAATAAAAACCGGACAGTTAGATTGGTGATACTGACAGTGGCTTCTTTCCTCACAAAACCTTCTGTGTTCAGTCTCTGGTATGTGGTCCGTTGAAGGCAGAAACTGTCTTTCTCTTATTGTATGTCCCTAGCAAAGTATATGGGACGTAGTAGGCACTTGTTCATTCATTCATTCATGAATACCTACTAAATGCTTATTACGTATGTCCCATGCTGGAGGCCAGATAGTGTTTCCATAGAGGCCAGAGAATCCTCTCACTTTGAGGAAATTAACTGTAGAGGTTACATGAGTTATCAAGGAAGAGGCTGAATTGTGATCTTTATGAAACTGTGAAAAACCAGCCCCATTTCAGAGGGTAGGCATGGCCATTGGGACTACTGGAGGCAAAGCATCCCTCATTAAGTATGAACTTGGGCCCACACAAAGAGGACTTTTAACCTCTCCCCAGGAGTTTTGGGCTTTTGTTCTGTTTTGCTTTCTTACATTGAACTTTTGCTAGTAAATCTCTGTTCCCCGCCTCCGTTATCATTCGAGACCTGCATTGAATGCTGTCCTCTGCCCTGACTGACCGAGCTCGGGAAGTTCTCACCCTCCTCTGGGTTTCTTCGGTAATTACTGAGTGTGCAGTCCCGTCAGCAATTAATAACTGACTGCCTTATATCATCTCTCCTATTGTCCTGGAGTATTATTTATATCTTATTGCTATAAACTTTATTGTTACTTGTCTTATGTCACAACCTAATTGGAATCTTAAACACAGGAAACCCCCCTGAAGCCTGTCCCCCATAATACCTTGCTTACCCACAGTGCAGCTGTACTTGGCTGTGATGCCAGGGACCTCTGGGCCTGGAGGCTGCTCAAAGGCTTGATTGGCTTTTCGAGTTCCCATGTACAGGCTCTCAGCTCCTGCTAATTCTGTTGTGCCCTTTTGCCCTGCTCTCCCTCCAGGCACCTCATTGCGAGCATGCTTTCTGCAATGCCTGTATCACCCAGTGGTTCTCTCAGCAGCAGACGTGTCCGGTGGACCGTAGCGTAGTGACGGTTGCCCACCTACGCCCAGTACCTCGGATCATGCGGAACATGTTGTCAAAGCTGCAGATTGCCTGCGACAACGCTGTGTTTGGCTGCAGTGCTGTTGTCCGGCTTGACAACCTAATGTCTCACCTCAGCGACTGTGAGCACAACCCAAAACGGCCTGTGACCTGTGAACAGGGCTGCGGGTGAGACCCCTTCCCTTCTTTGCCCCACATGGACGCAGGATAAGGGCTTTCCCATTTGGGCCCCCGTCCGTCTCCGGATCCCCTGCCCTCTGGCTGAGGTGCATGTAGACAGGGAGTGCTCTTGGCCTCCCTGGCATCCTGCCCCAGGATTTCATTTTCATGCCGCTTTTCGAACTATGATCTTTTTGGTCTTGCTCGAACATCAGGGAGACAGCGATTCAGCAATCTGTGGATAGCACTAGACTCGATTTACTTGATTCTTCCCTTTAAGTCCAGTATTATTTTTTGTTGTCAGATTGACTGCTTTAATTTCTAGCCTTCTCATATTTCCTCTTGCCCTATTTTTTCTTTCTTTGGTGTGTGAAATATTTGATTAAATGCTGATAGGGCTGTGAATCTAGGGCTTCTCAGGAGTGAATGCACAGGCAGAATCTGTAGGAAGAAAGGAGAGCCGAGTGGCAGATAAAACATGGACTTAGAGAGGGAAAAAAGCCCAGAGGTAGTAGGTAGCAAAGGGGTGAGAGGGGATCTGGGGAGGAGAGTGTGAAGAGAATAAGCAAGAGGGAGGACTGAAGTTAGAAAAGAATGAATGTTAGCCCTGCCCAATGCAGTAGCTCAGTGGGTTGGGCATCATCCTGCAAACTGAAAGTCACCAGTTCCATTGCTGGTCAGGGCACCACACCTGGGTTGCAGGCCAGGTCCCTGGTTGGGGGGTGTGAGAAGCAACCCATGGATGTTTCTCTCGCACTCCTCCTCCCTCCCTTCCCCTCTCTCTAAAAATAAGTAAATACTTTAAGAGGGAGTGAATGAATGTTAGAAATTTGGGGTAGGTGAATGCCCTCTCAGCAAGTTTCTGCCTTTGCCCCACCGAATGCTCCTGTGCTCTTTTTCACTCTGGGCGGCAGCCTGGAGATGCCCAAAGATGAGCTGCCAAACCACAACTGCATTAAGCACCTGCGCTCAGTGGTACAGCAGCAGCAGACACGCATCGCAGAGCTGGAGAAGACCTCAGCTGAACACAAACACCAGCTGGCAGAGCAGGTAGGCCCCAGAGAACATGGGGAAAAACATGTCCACAATATGCAAATAACCACATGCTTGTGGGTGATGCGCACCGTGAGCTGCAGGTCTGTGCCTGTGCTCACACACCTGGCTGAGGACATGCCGTGCCTTTGGCTCGGTCAGGAATCAGATTGGAGCTCTTCTCCCTTCAGCCCCTCCATGCCATTCACCTGCTACTTGTCAAATGCCTTCTCTGTGAAGGGACTCTGCTAAGCCCCAGGGGTACAGCTGGGAATGAAACAGTCATATCCCTGCCTGAAGCTTACAGTCTGGTTGTTCCTCCAATCTCTCAGTTGCCCTCATGCTCAGATAAACTTTTGTCTTTCACCTGCTCTCTGCCTTAACCTTCATCCCTGGTTCTCTTTTCTTCCAACAGAAGCGAGACATTCAGCTGCTGAAGGCGTACATGCGTGCAATCCGCAGCGTCAACCCCAACCTTCAGAACTTGGAGGAGACTATTGAATACAATGAGATCCTAGAGTAAGTTTCACTCAGGATGTGGAGTTACTCCCCATGCTGGCCCTGAGCCCTGAAGGGAGGAAGAAGAGAGGAGTGGCAGAGGGAGGGGGATAAGAAGGCTGGGCTGGGGCCTCCACTTTTCAGATGTTGGGATGAGGGACAGGGCCAGAGAGAAGGTGAGTCCTATTGGGGGGTGGGCGGAAGGGAAAGCTTACCAGGGATGCCTACCTCCAGGGTTAGGCGAGTCCCGCATGGAGAGCTCTGTACTGAAGGCGGTGGAGTGCTAGGAGGGCCAAAAAGGAATACCAGATATTGTCTGTCTTTAGGTAGCTTACAATCCAGAGAAGAAAAGAGGGTGTAAACCCAGAAAAAGTATTCTAAAAATGCAGCAAAGTAAACAAGCAAAGTCTAAGGTCCCTTTCAGTTCTGGAGTCCTTACATCTCATAGACTCGAGTGTTAAGGGCGAATCGGTACACACACTGAAAGTAGTACTGTATGGGACGCAGTATAGAGGGAAAACGTCTTCCTTCAGTAAACATTTATTGAGCACTTAGTACATTCTAGGCACTGTGTGCACTATTGGGATTTTTAAGAAAAATATGAGGGACCATACACTCACGGAGTTTAATTGAGTAACCCGGTGACTCAGGTGGGACCAATTAGGGAAAGATGGGTAGTTTCTAAACCAACAATGGATGGATGGATGGATGGATGGATGGATGGATGGATGGATGGAAGGGAGGAGGGAGGGAGAATGGGGTTAAGCTAAGCATAGAGTGGGTGGTTACTCCTATTGGGAAAAGAAGCAGTGCCGAGAAAGAGGATGAGCTGGGATGACCATCTCCATCTTCCTCCATACAGGTGGGTGAACTCCCTACAGCCAGCTAGGGTGACCCGCTGGGGAGGGATGATCTCCACCCCGGACGCTGTACTCCAGGCTGTGATCAAGCGCTCCCTGGTGGAGAGTGGCTGTCCTGCCTCTATTGTCAACGAGCTGATAGAAAATGCCCACGAGCGAAGCTGGCCCCAGGGTCTGGCCACACTGGAGACAAGACAGATGAACCGGCGGTACTATGAGAACTATGTGGCCAAGCGCATCCCCGGCAAGCAGGCTGTTGTGGTGATGGCCTGTGAGAACCAGCATATGGGTGACGACATGGTGCAGGAGCCGGGGCTGGTCATGATATTTGCGCACGGCGTGGAGGAGATATAGATTTCAGCAGGCTGGCAGGAAAAGATGGAAATCAGAAAATCTCATCACTCCAGTAGCTGAGCCCTGAGTCCTTCCCACTGTCCTTAACACTGTGGCTGGTACTGGAGCCACATCTCCCTGTGCTTCTGGCACTGAAGGGCCCTGGAACACTTTGCTCAGCCTTTCAGGTGGGAAACTCAGATTCCCCTCTTTTGCCTAATTTCTTCCCTGCAGATGTCTGTAAATTTTCAGTCTGGGTAGGAAAGTCCCCACTTCTATATGTTTTCCTGCCTGGGGTCCCTGGTTCCAGACATTTTCAGAAAGCACAAAGGTATTCATTTCCTCCCCAGAGGATCAGGGTAGTGCAAGAAACCTTGAATCGTTCCCCTTCTTCAAAACCAGGGAATTGAGCAGGCAGTCCTGTTGGCTCTCAACACTTAGAGGGCCGCTCTGGGGAGCAGACATCCTGAAGAAGCAGTAAAGGTGGAAACCCAAACCCTAGAAATAATGAGCCAGTAACTCACCATGACTGATGGCCCTTAGGGGAAGACTGGACCTCTGTGCCAAGCAATACCTTGTTCAGCCCACCTTAGAGGTGCGGGCTGCCGCTGGGTCTGCACGTGTGCAAGTTGGGAAGCCGAAAATTCCCAGATGAACTCTCCTTGCCCACACTTCCTCTTAATTAGGGAATGACAGGAATGGGGGTAGGGGGTTAGTCTGTTGGGGTGACTATGCTCAGCAAGAAGCAGCACCCTGGCTTTTGCTGAAATCAGGTAGGCAGGCGCCTCTTGTGGCACAGGCTGTGATAGTTCCACCACCCCCTCCAGCCCTGAGATTGTAACCAGTTATGCTGATAATTTCCTTTGGCCATTGTTTGTTTATATTTCATTGTCCCCCTCCCACTTTTTTTTTTTTTTTTTTTTTTTAAGAATAGCCTGGTTATGGCTACTCCACTTTTCCAACCCAGCCACATTGTTGGCAATTTAATTTATTTACTTTTTTTTTTTTTTTTAAAGAAACGAAAAAAAAATTAACAAAACATGCCTTTTCTTTTGCTGTTCCTGTGGTGGGGGTTCTGGATAGGGTGGGACCAGGGTGGGATCTGTTTTATATTTTCCCTTTTCAGCACAACCTTTGGCTTTAATATAGAAAGGGCCAAGGGCGTCCTTGACTGAACGAATGTCGCCCCAGCCCTCCAAACCCCATCTGAGATGAGGAGCCGCCTCTATTCCAGCATTGATGCCTGAGCCCTCTGCAAAACTTTGCTCCTGGCCCTTCCTTCCGAGGTCTCATCGCAAAACTCTGGATTTAGAGTATTAATTTCGAAGAAATTCCCATCCCCCATTTCCTTGGAGATGTACAGCCGGCTTCTAACCTTCACTGGGCAAGGTGGAATAGAAATTAAGTCTTTGTCTCTGAATACAGGCAGTGAGGACTCTGTCTCACCCGTGCCCATTAAGGACTGCCACTCCATTTCAGGCCTCCTGGGGCATTCCGTGACCTCTGGGGTGACTGTTGACAGAGTAAGAGAAAAGGAGGAATAGTGGGTGTGATTGTTTCAGTATGCAGGTGGGAGTGGGGTGGAAGAGAGATGGCCATCAAATAGTTTCTTCTCTTGGAGCGTTATTCCAGGTCAGCTTGCTGTCGCTCTGCGCAGTTGGGCCATGGTCCCACTGGTACCAGGGTGGAGGGAGACAGCTGGAAGGGAGTGGGGAGCAGTCACACATTTCAGTTCCAGGACCTTGTGCTCAGGAATTTGAAAACGCTGCTATACTTAACCTGGTCACTACACTTAACAGGCTCACTCCCTGCTGCCCCCGAGCCTTACCCTGTCCCTTCCCTCTGCTGTCACCCTCAGGCGGATCCAGGAAGCTCAGGTCAGGCGTCCCCACCCTTTGCACTGGTGTCTGCAGGTTGCTGATTATGCTACTTGTGCTGTTCCATGGTGTTTACTGCACTAATAATAAACCTTTCACTCAACTCTAAATTCTTAATTCAGTAGCACTCCCCTTCTTGTGAAGGTTTCTCCTCTGCTTGGGCCTTTTTCTCACCTTCATTCCCCTGCCTTCCTCCTTCCTTTGCAACCTAGCCTTGTCTTCTTAGAGCTCACCTCTAAGGTGAGCTCACCTCCCTGTTGGAGGGTGTCTGTTGGGGGTTAGTGGGCCCCTCCCATCTTCTTGGCCCTGTGGGGCCCTCCTACCTCATCTCTCCTGTCTCCTGTTTGGTAACAGCCAGCGCTCTCTCCAGTGGTCTGATTTTTGCTTTTTCCAGAGTCTGCATGCACCTTTCTCCCTTGTTCCATCTTTGTTTTGGAACTTGGGATTCTATCATAGGCAAGGAAGTCTCTATCAACCTCCCTTCGGCCCCCCTCCTCCCCCCCGCAGTGCCTCCTCACCAGGAAAGCAAATGTGAGGAAGGGAGCCGGGAACGACGGACTGACCATCCGTTGTGGTGGTCCAACCTTGAGGAACCCTTCATAGGCATTTGCTGCTGCCTTCTCCCTGTCATAAGAAAGAGTATTCTTCTCTCCAAGTGTTACATTTTAAATTTGTTGAGCGTTTATCATGCACCTTCTGTAAATTTAATAGTGCTCTAGACACTCTAGTGTTAAGAGGGCAGCGCGTAAGGGCGCCCCTGAGCCAGCTGGGTCTCCACTGTGCTTTCATACACACAAGGCCTGACTATAAAACAGTGGTGAGAACAACACAGTAGAGGGCACTGGAATAGATGTACTCCAGTGATGCCAGCAGTGTTTAAAATTTCCTCTGAATTTCTTTCAAAAATAGTACTTTCAAAACCTGCTGCTCATTCTTTTGAATGTCGAGGTCATGAATGATACCAAATCTTTATTTTAGGGTAGATTTGGTTTTTGGAAACAATATTCAGAATATTCTGCGAGGAACTCACTAGGGTTGGGAAGGGAGAATTCATGTAGCAAAAGGGCACCTTCCTGTAAAGACTTACTCCTTGATGGAGATGAGTTACAATAAGACATTATAATGACCTCGGGGGATTTACAAGCGATACGTGAGCAGAGGAGAGGAAGCCCCTGATTGTGGTGGGTACCAGGGAAGACTTCAGGAAGAGTGCCACTGGTTCTAGACTGGAGTTTGGCAAACCACAGCTTGTATCCTGCTGTCGGCTCCTGTAAAAAGATGCACATTGGAACACAGCCACACCCATTTGCTCTTAGGTTGTCTGTGGCTGCTGTTACATCCCAACAGCAGAGATGAGTAGTTGCACAGAACTATGGCTCACAAGGCCTCAAATATTTGTTTTTTTGGTCCTTTACAAAATGTTTGCCAACCCATTCTAAACTTTCGAGGTCAGGAAATGGGTGGAGAAGTGTAGAGACAGTTGTTTTTAACTTTTTTACTTCAGTATATAGATTTGAAAAAACAAGATTTTACACATTGCCAAAATAACAAGTGCTTAAAATTAATAATATATCTTTAATCTGATACAAACCTATATTCACATCTCCTCAGTTGTCCCAAGAAAAGAACTTCAGAGCCGATGTTGGTCCAGCCCAGGATCCAATCCAGGAACTGTACATCACACCGTGCTCTCTCCTCTTTCTTAGTCTGGGTTCCTGGAAGGACATTTTTGGTAACACTGCTGTGTTGAAGAGATTGGGCCAGTTGTCCTGGAGAGTGTGGGCTTTTGTGTTTTTTTTTCACAGTGTTCTTTAAATTGTTCTTCTGGCTCCTATTTTTGCTAAACAATTAGATCTGAGAGATTCAAGTTAAACAGTTTTGGAAATAGAAGACATCACAGGACAGGACAGATGTTCTTTCTTTATTTTTTAAAGATTTTACTTATTTTGGAAGAGAGGGAGAAAGAGAAACATGATGTGTGAGAGATACATGCCTCTTGCACGCCCCCTACTGGGGGCCTGGCCTGCAACCCAGGCATGTGCTCTGACCCAGAACGGAACCAACAACCCTTAGGTCTGCAGTCTGGCATTCAGTCCACTGAGCCACGCCGGCCAGGGCCAGGTGTTCTTTGTCTTGTATTATAGCAGGAGATAGGGCCAGGTGTCCTACCACTAGCCTGATCTACTTCCACTTGTAGAAGGGATTTTTTCCTTCACTGTCCACTTGTAGAGGGATTTTTTTTGGTTTTTTTAACGATAGGCATTTTACTGAGAAGCATGGATTTGTCGTTGCACCCATTTATGCGTTCATTGGCTGCTTCCTGTTATGTGCTCTGATGACACGCTAACCAACTACCCCGTGGGCAGATTTTTTTAAAGCTGGCCAGGTGACAAATATGTGCCCTGAGAGAAGCAGGCAGCTGGCAGTGCGGCTCTGGTTGGTTGCCGCTATACACAGGGCCGAATATTACCAAATCTTTTTTTTTTTTTTAAGATTTTAGCTATTTATTTTTAGAGAGAGAAGAAGGGAAGGAGAAAGGGAGAGAAACATCAGTGTGTGGTTGCCTCTTGCACACCCTCAGCTGGGGACCCAGCCCACAGCTCAGGCATGTGCTCTGACTGGGAATCAAACCAGTGACCCTTTGGTTCGCAGGTCCACACTCAATCTACTGAGCTACACCAGCCAGGGCCCAAATCTTACTTTTCAAGAAACTAAAGATTTTATTTATTTTAGAGAGGGGGAAGGGAGGGAGAAAGGGAGAGAAAGATTAATGTGTGGTTGCCTCTCCTGCACCCACAACTGGGGACCTGGCCTGCAACCCAGGCATGTGCCCAGACCAGGAGTCGAACCAGCAACCCCTTGGTTCGCAGGCCAGCACTCAATCCACTGAGCCACACCAGCTGGGGCAAATGAATAAATTAAAAATTTTTTTAAAGTGGGGATGAAAGATATGTTGAAGAAGGAAGAGACTAGTGCAATCCAGAGCATAGCATTTTTTTGAAGGAAGTAATGGAGATAAGGCTGGAAATAATTTGGGGCCAATGCTTGGAAGGCCTTGAATACTTGGCAGGGAAATTGGACTTTAATTTTATGGGTAAGTTTCTGCAAAGAGGAATGACTTCCAACTCATGATTTTAGTGGCAAAAGTAGGACAGCTTTGCAGTAATTCATGCAAGTAAGGGTTAGAACTTGAATAGGACAGGCAAGATGACAAGCGACATCCAGGGAGGAAAACTGACAGGTCTTAGTAAGTGACCAGATTGACCGGGCCATCATTTACAGCACGCCTGGCGTGCCCAGATGTGGTGCCCAGCGTTTGAGATACACAAGGAATTGGGAAACGGGTCTTCAAGGGGATTTTCAGCTTAGTGGATGCACTTGAACAAATAATGGGGAATACAGGAGAGCGTGTTGCTAATAGATAAGGACCGAGCACAATGGGACAAGAGGAAGAACGGGGTCAACTACCTGCCTGGTGAGATGCAAGAGGGAAGGTTTCTCAGGGGAATCACTGGGGCTCGACTTCCGAGAAGGACTGGCCATGAGGAGAAGGGGCAACAGATCAAGCATGTACTGTGAGTCAGGCACTATTCTAAGTATTACACATCTAGTCACCCCAACTTTGTAAAAGGCACTATTATTTTCTCCATTTTCCATGTAGGGAAACAAAGGACAAAATTCACACAGCAGTTAGAACTGGGACTTGAACCCAGAAAGTCATTCCAGAGCCTGTGCTCTTAACCACTGCACTTGACAAGGGGTGCTTAACCGAAGATGAGTCACAGGTAAAGACAAGTTTCTATTCTAGTCTGTATAAGTGAGCAGTGTCATTAACCTGAATAGGGAGGACAGGATGTGTAGGTTTCAGGGTGAAGTAATAAGCTCATCTGGGGGACACTGGGTTGGAAGTGCTTCCATCCAGAGACGTTACTCGGTGGATATAAATGTGGGTCTGGAGCTTAAGAGCAAGAAGCACAGTTGACGTTGTGGATTTGGGGACTCTCTGCCCAGAGGTGATCAAGAAATTCTGGGAATTAATGCAAAGTTAAAGGACAGAACAAGAAGGCTGAGAATGGGACCTTGGAAATTACAGAAATAATCTAGAATAAAAGTCTGCAAAATAGATAAATGATAAAGTTGGGTAATGCGTCAGCTTTAAAAAATTTTTGGAGTAACGAGTCACATGTGGCTCATAAACTGGCCGTGAAGGAGTTGCAGAAATGTTCTGTGCAATAGCAGCGCTCCACAGACAAGTGCAAGTTGAGATCATTTCAGTACAAGACCTCTAATAATTTGCTTTACTAGATAAACTGCAGAGATCCAAGCCTCTTAACATTTGGAACAAGTCAACAACTTGGAAGGGTGTAGTATTCTTGTGTGTTTGATTCCCACTCATTATCTTTCTAGTTACATAAAAACAACTTCAATTAAGATATAAGAATTTGGAGCTGAAAAGATCAGTATAGGGTGGCATTAGCTAGTTACTGGTTATAAAGTGAAGAGTCAGAAGGAACTTCAATGAGAGAAGGAATTAGGCTGTCACGTGGAAATGCCCAGCCTGATTATATTGGGGGTATCTTACTGGGAAGAATAAAGGCTAAAAGAAAATGCTGATTTAGAAAATGCTGTCTTATTGATAATAGGAGCCCGTGTTTGATTAGACAGGTGTTAAAGTTCCTGGACAGGGAGTAATATGAAGGCAGTGTTTAGAGATTTAAGTGTGGAGCTGGGCTGTTGTAACAAAAGCATCGATCAGATTACAGTATGTGAGGGCGGAAGCAATGACTGATGGGCCTGGGGGGTGGGAATGTCAGATAATTCTTACCGTTGGAAACTAGATGAAATTGAAAATGGTGTCAACATAAATGGAAAAAGTCGAGAATGTGTTTCCAGGAAAGGAAGAGAAGTTTGGTGCTTTAAGTGACATTGGGGCAGCCATGCAAACCTAGACAGCAGGAGATAAAGGGCCGTGGTCTAGCTGAGAGGCCCTGCTTGGAACTGCGGCTTGGAATTTTTGTCTTGGAAGAAGGGAAAAGAATGAAGCTTTAGTAGAATTCCACAAGAACAAGAAAGCAAATGTTCTTTTCTTTTTGCAGTTAAGTTTTACTTACAAAAACAGTTTGTGCCCTGGCTGGTGTAGCTCAGTGGATTGAGTGCTGGTCTGCAAACCAAAAGGTCACTGGTTTGATTCCCAGTCAGGGCACAGGTTATAGGCCAGGCCCCGGGTTGGGGGTGTGAGAGAGGCAACCTATTGATATTTCTCTCACACATCAATGTTTCTCTCCCTACCTCTAAAAATAAAACATTTAAAAAATATATAGTTTGTAAAAAAATACAGTTTGTAAAGTAAAACTTTATTTTGTTGATGAACCAGTGTTCTGAGACAGTGATTTTAAGTTGGAGTACCACAAGAATTTTTAAAAACACACCTGAGTAGGCCTGGCTGGTGTAGCTCAGTGGATTGAGCATGGGCCTGTGAACCAGAGGATTGCGGTTCAATTCCCAGTCAGGGCACATGCCTGTGTTGCAGGCCAGTTCCCAGTAGGAGATGCATGAGAAGCAACCATACATTGATATTTCTCTCCCTCTTTCCTTGCCCTCTAAAGATAAATAAAATCTTAAAAAAATAAAAAACACACCTGACTATTTAGAGGTTTCTGTCCTCTTTTCCCTTCAATCATCAAATGAGAAAATGACAACAACTAACACAACAATAGCCATCCAGTGTGAATGAATCAAAATTCTACCTATTTTCCTGGCTGGCGTAGCTCAGTGGATTGAGTGCAGGCCTTTGAACCAAAGGACTGTGGTTCAATTTCAGGGGAAAAAGGGGAAGGATTTACAGGAACTAGTATAAAGGAGGGGGGGGGGGCTGGGATGGGACTAAAAGACAGAATACTGTACTTGAAAAATAATTAAATTAAAAAAAAAAAAAAGGAGCGCGGTTTGATTCCCAGTCAGGGCACATGCCTGGGTTGCAGGCCAGTTCCCAGCAGGGGACGCACAAGAGGCAACCATACATTGATATTTCTCTCCCTCTCTTCCCCTCTAAAGATAAATAAATTAAAATCTTTTAAAAAATTTACCTATTTTTGTCAGATCTGCAAACAATGTATTTTTTGGTGTACAGCAGAATTTTAGTAATTGGTTTATGTGTGCTATGAGATTTTTAAAAAAGGTTGAAAATTGCTCTTCTAAGAAAAATAAGAGTATGATGTCTCTGAAGCCCATTAAGAAGTGAATGGTTTCACACACAACAAGCACATCTACCACAGGATATTAAGATAGTGTGGAGTTGGAGGCAGAGGGTGTACATTTTATTCAAAAAATAAAAGGAAATGAAAAACAACATGGTGTTAAAGACAATATTACAACAGATGTAATTTTGTTGGTTCTGAATTATTGAAGGTCTGGTGTAGTGGAGTAGGGGGATTTGAACCAGTTATGCAAGGGTATTTATAGAAGCTTCCACAGGAGATTGAAATGACTGGGATTGCAAACCTGGGTGAATTTAACTTAAGGGCAGATAAACAAGGCCAAATACTGAACCAGAAGATACTAAAGAATGCCAGTGGGTATTTAAAAAAAAAAAAAAAGTCCTGGCTGGTGTGACTCAGTTGATTAGGTGCTGGCCTGTGAACCAAAAATTCTCCAAGTCAATCAATTCCCTGGCAGGGCACATGCCCAGTAGGGGACACATGAAAAGCATCCACACATGGATGTTTCTCTCCTTCTCTCTCTCCCTCCTTTCCCCTCTCTCTCTAAATAAATAAATAAATAAATAAATAAATAAATAAATAAAAATATATAAATGCTTTAAAGAAATAATGCCTGTGGATAGAATGTAATAATGTAAGAACGGTGGTGAGGAGCGGGGCTGATTATGCAAAGAAAGAGACAGGATTTGTTGAGATGGAAGGATGAAGGAATTGGGGAATTAAGGTGGGCTGTAGTGGTGGTAAAAAATTTGAAATTATCTACTGTCGATGAGAGTTCGAAGCCTTTACCTCTCACACCGGAAAGTTACAAGGGAAGCATTTGAGAAGGAAAGGTAGGCTGTCCTAAGCATCAACCAACCTCTCAATTTCCCCTAAGTCCAGATCCTCCATTTTATAAACCACGGAGCTTTCTTCCTTTCACAACAAAGTTGTTGGTTGCCCTCTGCTGGTCAACTTTGGTCTTGGCTCTCTAGAAACGTACCTGATCCTGAGCAGAATGGGATTCAGAAGGAAGCCCAGTACTGAAGCCCGGCCAATTAGATTGTATTACAGTATATATTTGATCACATCTGTGTGTAAGACCTAGTAGAGGAGATGCAAATAAAACACAGTTCTAGTTCCCAAGACGTTTATAGTACAGTATGAGTGAAGATTAAAACATGTACACATGACTACTATAAAAAGCATCCATTTAGTCAACAAAACTATTTTTTTTTGAGTAGCTCATATGTGCCAAGAGTTCATATTCCACAAAATAAAATTAGGGTGCAGGATGTAGTGGGCCACAGGTGATTAGAGAAGACTTTCCAGGAGAACCAACATGTAAGTGAAGACTGAGTATAAAGTGAGGGTAGGGAAGATTATTTCAGGCAGAGTACAGCATAAACATGGACAAATACTATACCAGGAATTAAAAGAATGCCAGTGAATGGAGGTAGGGAATATGGAAGAGCAGAGAGAAAAGAGACCAAAGGCAGCTATGGAAAGGTTTAAGGTCTATGGCTACAATGTGCATGCTTTAGTGCAGTTTTACATATTACTATGTAGTCCTCACAATTACCCCTATTTTCCAAATGAAGGCTCCAGCAAAGTGGTGGATCCAGTCTGCACTCAACTGTGAGAAAAGTGGACAGACGTGAGACACAGTTGGGAGGTGGGATAAATATATTTTTTTAAAAATTAACTTCTGTATCAAGCAGAATGGAAAGCAGTGGGACATGATCACTGGTGACGGTGACCTTGAAAAGAACAACTTGAGCAATGGTATGAAGATGGGATGCTCCAAAATATAAATGTGTAGAAAGCACTATGAATTACTTTGGACCCCCTGTCTTCTGGGGATCCTTCCCGGAGAAGACAGTGTTCTGCAAAAAATGAAATACAAAAAGGACATCCTCCACAAGTGTCCTAGCTACTCCCCACAAGCAGAAACTGGGGGATAGGAAGAAGGTGGGTGAGGTGAGTACCGGTTAGAGAAGGGATTAATTCCCTAGCTTGGTTAATACAGCAGAGAATTTAGACAGTACCTAGCACATAATGAGCACTCAATAAAAAGTGATAGTCTTCCCACACTAGCTCCCGCTAGATCTGCAGCGTTTGTTTCAATAGGGTACTCCCCCTAGACCTGTGGTGCTTGAGGTGCACCTCCTCGAGAAAATCCAAGGGAGAGAATGCCCTGTTTCGTTGGCTTCGTTTGTAATCCGACCTACAAGACATGACTTCTAGTCATGAAACCCAGAGGTACTCTCTTTTCCTGGAAACTCCAGCTTCCACTCTTACAGTACAACAGGCGTTCACACTCCCAAACAAAACTTAACCCTTCTTCAAATCCTATGCTATTCCCTCCCCAAATCGTGAAACAATGCCAAAGCTCTATTAGCAAACCTAAAGTTATAGAAGTCTGAAAGTGCCTTGTATTCTAGCAGCCAAAAAGGTTGTGCATAATTAAGCTTCCGTGATCAGCCCCATTCCCCCAAATCTAGGGATGAGAACTCCCGGCTTCTATTTCCGAGACAGAAAGGTAAGTGCATGAAAGGCACGTGAGAAAATAAGAGGTTCCCTTTAGGCGTTTTAAGGGAGAGGGGGAAAAAAAACGGACGTCACGAACAGGATTCGAACCTGTGCGGGGAAACCCCATTGGATTTCGAGTCCAACGCCTTAACCACTCGGCCACCGTGACTTCCAAAACTACTCTCCTCTTTGAGCTTACAGTAGGAGTCCGCATTTCAGAGAAACCGGGCCCCAGCCTCTACACGTACCCCAATACCCCACCCCCTGGGCTCCTTACCTCTCTCCTATGCCATTCAAAGGAAGAGAGTCGGGGGGAGCGGGAGACCCAGGGAGGGAGAGTCACCGGCTCGGCGAAGATTCGGGATCTCAAGGAGCGCAAAGCTACATAGGAGGCGATGGTGGGGCCTGCAAAGGAAGCAGTTGGAGGGAAGGGGCCGGTCCCGAAAGTGGGGGCTAGGGGACTATCACTCGCATTGAGTGAGAAAGGTTCTGGGATAAGGCGTTAGGGGTCAGGGAGACTCAGGAAGAGTTTAAAAGGGGAACTCCTAAAACGGATGACAGGAAGAAACACCCTGGGGAAAGGGATCTGGGGCTCTTTGGGATTAGGGGCTCCAGGAATTAGGAATGGGCAAGGTGACGGCCACTGGAAGCCGGGGTCGCCTCAGGGGACGCCCGTCGTCGTTGGAGTAGGACAGGGAAGTGCCAATTCTTCGGCTGATAGGTAGCGCGGGGGGGGGGGGGAAGAGGCTTCGCATCAGGTCACGAGAAATCTCAGGGGAGAGAGCGCCCCCGCCAAGAAGCAGCCACTTCTCTCTCCAAGGCTCCCGCTGCCGCCTCCGGGGAGGCCGCCAGGTTCCGTCCCGCACCCTGCGCTCCACCGTCGCAGCGCCCGGCCGGCCGGCCGGCAGGGGGCGCTGCACCGACCGGGGCCGGCCCAGGCGGCGGGAGGCGGCGGCCGCGGCAGCGGGAGGCGGGCGGAGGAGGCGGAGGAGGCGGGAGCTGAGCTGAGCGGGGCGGGCGGCGGCGGCGGGCCCGAGCCCGAGAAGATGGCGGTGCGGAAGAAGGACGGCGGCCCCAACGTGAAGTACTACGAGGCCGCGGACACAGTGACCCAGTTCGACAACGTGCGGCTCTGGCTCGGCAAGAACTACAAGAAGGTACGCGGGCAGGGCCGCGCGGAGACCGGGGGCGGGACAAAGGGACCGCGGCCCCATAGCGCCCCAGGATCCTGCCCGCCCTCCGGCGGCCCGCGGCCCCTGGTGCAGCCCCCAGCGCGCCCTCCGGCCTGCGCCCCTCCCCCAGCCTCTTACCGCCCCCCCCCCCTCCGGCCTCGGATTCCAGCCTCCGCCCCCACTGCTGCGCCCTCTGCCCTGTGTTTTTCTCCACTGTCCCTGCGGGTCCGGGTACCAGCAGCCCACCCTCCGCTAAGCCATCGCCTTCCGGGCTTTTTCGGGAGAGACGGCCGGGGTTGTACTGAGTGTCGAATGCCACCCCCTCTTCCCCCCAGCGTGCCCGCCACGGTGCCCGCCACTGCTCCCCACGGAGCCAGGTACCAGCAGGGCTGAGGCCTCCCTGGTGCTTTGTGTACGTTAAGAGAGAGATGATGAAGAAGACAGGAGGGTAAACAGCCACAGAGCAGGCCCTGGGCTGCTTCATCAGCCCGAAAAAGGCCCCTACCCTGAAATCACCTGTCTCTACCGCTTGTCCCCCACCTCTAGGCGAGGGGCAGTGAAACCTCTTTGGGAGCCAGGATCTAGGAGGAGTTCTTGGTAGCCACCTCTTCTCAAACCGTTCCTCAGCTTCACAATGTAGTCACACCACCACTTGCCCTGGAATTGCCCTGGGTTTGGGGTTCAGAGTCTAGGCCACTCTTTATATCTCTAGCCCCCAACCCCATAACTGTAGATAACAAGGTAGTGAACAATGGGTTTAAGAAGCCTTACCTGTCTTTCCTACCGAACCTCTTCCTGGTACTGTCTTTGTCTTTAGGCCTTGTTGAAAGGAACATCTAAACATACGGCTTTTCTCTGGAGATAGTCAGCTTCACTGTCCCCAGAGAGGGGTTCCCTTTCTGACTTTCCTTCACCTCTCCCGTTCTTCCTGCCCAGCTTTGCAGCCAGTCAGAAGTGTAATGAGTGGTTTAGGAGAACGCCCCTCTGATCCTGTTATAATCCTGTTCCTGCTCAGATCTCTGGGTGTCAGGATCCTGACAAACAGCTGCGGGGTCTGTGGCTTGTCTCTACCCCTGTGTGAGGTTCTGGTTCCCAGGCTTCTACCTTTGACCTTTTGGAAGGGAAATCAATCTAGGGGCTTAGTCTGTGGCTCTGGGGTGATTGACAGTCTGTGACCTGGTTCAGCTTTGGAACTCTTAGCTCATTGTCGTTTACCTTTTCCTTCAAGGATCTCTTTACACCTCCCACTGAGAGGAGCACTCTTCTCTGTGATTAGGGTTGAGGAAACAGGGGTCAAAAGGTAACGAGAAAGTTAGCCTCCTGGCTCAATTTAAAATTAGAACAGAAGGCAAGTATGCTAGATAGTATATTAGGGAAATGTTCAAAAATGCCCAGTTACTTGTTGCAGCTAGAGTTTCCTCAGAAAAGACAGATGTGATCTTGCTCTTTTCTACCAGGCTGTCAGAGAGCCTGGTCCTTCCCATCCAGGAGGGCCGGTGGAGATATTTGTGCCCTGTTCCTAAGCAGGGGCAGAACACACAAGCTCACTGTCTGCCCTGCCTCACTGCCTTGCACCTTCTTAGTAAACCACATTATAGGGGGAATCATGGCCTTCCACAAAGTTACCCCAAGAAATACACTGTTGTCTCACTTAGAACCTTAAAGGTATTCTTTCTGCGGCCTGAACTCAATGAACCTTCAGAATTTTACAGCCCTCTGGGTAGAGATCAGGCTTCTGCAACTCCGGTGTCAGGGTGTACCTGAGGAAGAGTGGGAATCCCCCTCGCCCTCAGCACCCAGCACTGACATCTTGGGCTGGGGGCAGTAGAATTGCAACTTCCAGGTGAGGGGTGTAGAAGGCCTCCCTTCTGCCATTTTCTTTATGGAAACTAGACACATAGGGGAAGAAGACACAATTTTCTCTGCCCCAGATGTTTCCAGAGCTCCTGGGAAAGAAACAGGGAAGAGGTAGACAATTTATCTGGGGTCTATTCTTTTTTCTTTCTCTCTATTTGCCCAGTATATACAAGCTGAACCACCCACCAACAAGTCCCTGTCTAGCCTGGTTGTACAGTTGCTACAATTTCAGGAAGAAGTTTTTGGCAAACATGTCAGCAACGCGCCGCTCACTAAACTGCCGGTGAGTGCAAAAGGAAGGAGGTAAATCCTCTAAACTTGAGAGGAAGCTATTTTGTTTTTTGTAAATTTCATAATTTTTGAGATTTGGGGTAATTTTTTACCATCCCTACCTCTGGTCAAGGCATCGCTGCCTTGACCTAGTCCCCAATTTACCATTCCCTTTGTCTTAGTAATACTTTGTGCAACAGGTTATTTCAGAGTGTGTGAGCTTGGTGTATGAAACTCTCGTGGCATCCTTAAGAGGGTATGAGATTTGGATTTGTACATGTTTGCATTCAAACCCTGGTTCTGCCACTTGGTGTCTCTGTGACTTTGGCAAGCAATTGAAACCTCTTGTGCCTTGGTTCCTTCATCTCTAAATGGGATTAATATACCTGTGTCGTAGGGTTTCTGTAATGGTCAGCGAGGTAACCCAGTAAGTGCTGGGCGCAGAGTGGGGCTTCGTGAGTGTTGGTTTCTTTTTCTCCCCTCTTCTAGGCCACATGATAACATGGCACAGGAGTTAAGAATTCCAGCCTTGAGAGGGAGATAACTTCAGCATGGGCTTTTGTGAAAGGATTGAATAATGAGAGAATTTAGGATGTAACTCTTACGTACTTCTTCCCTGTCTCAATTTTGTAGATCAAATGTTTCCTAGATTTCAAAGCAGGAGGCTCCCTGTGCCACATACTTGCAGCTGCCTACAAATTCAAGAGTGACCAGGGATGGTGAGATGCCCTGTCTTTATGCTCCTGACCTTTAGAGGGAATTTCCCTTCACTGATTCCTTGGGGGTCTTTCTAGGGTGGCAGTGCTGAGGTAGATATTCTTACGAGTCTTACTTTGCTAGGTCAGTAGGCCTGACTTGCTAGGTCAGAAAAATGGCTGGGAGTCAGAGCCAAAATAGTCTTCAAGAGTGAGTGAGTATGTATGTGTGCATCAGTGTGTGTATTACAGAGGAAAAAGGATTCTTAGGCTGGCATCTGAAGCTTTGCTTTGTCCTTTGGACTAAATACAAAGTGAATTGAGATCAGTGAACCCCAGACCCTAGATGATTTTGACAGCAGCTGTAAGCAGGATTGCCTCCTAATTTCCCATGTTAAACGCTCACATACCCTAACGTCATTCCCAGACCTGAGCTATACTACTCACTAGATTATTGCCTCTTCACAAGGCGGCGTTACGACTTCCAGAATCCATCACGCATGGACCGCAATGTGGAAATGTTCATGACCATTGAGAAGTCCTTGGTTCAGGTACTAGTCAAGAATCTCCCCATCCATCTCCTTTCTCACGACAGGAATCCAAAACACCCCTCCCCGTGATCTCATTCCACCTATTTCTTCTCCTCACAGAATAATTGCCTGTCTCGACCAAACATTTTTCTGTGCCCAGAAATTGAACCCAAACTACTAGGCAAACTAAAGGACATTATCAAGAGACACCAGGTGAGTGGGTGTCAGGAGAGGTTTTTGTAAACTCTATGACTCTTTATCTGATGTTATCCATTCAATATAAAGCCCTTGGGGGGCCATGTTTTCTGTGGCAGAGGTGCCTCTACCCACTCAGAGAATAACTAGACTTGCAGCCTTGAGCTACTCTTTTTCTGTCTCCTCCCGTTTCCCAGTCTTGACAGGTTTGGGTCGCTGTTCCTAGAGACTATCTCTGCCTGTGGGGAGAAACGAAACATCTACTTCCACTGAGTTAGACATTCCCTATTTTCAGAGAAATGAAATCTTTGCTCTTTGGAACTCTAGAATAACAAGCAGTCGTCATTGCTAGCAGTACACAGTCAACTTTACATTTTCCATGTGTAGATTATTCAGAGGAAACATCTGTAGCAATTTTTAATTCTTTGACTTTTCTCCATTATTAGTACAATCCTAACTATATCCCTCCAACACTCAGCTGGTGTATGCTTAGTAGAGAGTGCAAACTAGCTTTGATACCACTTTGAGCCCTGGCTGGTGTGGCTCAGTGGAGTGCCAGCCTGAGAACGAAAGGGTCACCTGTTCAATTCCCAGTCAGGGCACATGTCTGGGTTGCAGGCCAGGTCCCCAGTAGGGGGCACAAGAGAGGCAGCCACACACTGAAGTTTCTCTCCCTCTCTTTCTCCTTCCTTTCTATCTAAAAATAAATAAATAAAATCTTTTTTAAAATACTATTTTGAGCAAAATATGACTAGGAAGGCAGATCTTTGGTTAAATCTTACTTTGATTTATTTACACCCATGAATAATTTAGAGGGGACTATATTCACCTGCTTTTTTTGGTGCCGTCCAGGGAACGGTCACTGAAGATAAGAACAATGCTTCCCATGTGGTGTATCCTGTCCCCGGGAACCTGGAAGAAGGTGAGACCCAGCTTTTCCTGGCCACCATAGTAAATGGCCTGGACTAGGAGGTGGAGGACTGCTGAGATCCCATGTGCTACCTGGGCTTCTCTCTCCTTTCAGCCCTAAATCCACCTATCATCTTACATTCCTATTTCCAGGTCCCCTGCTGCAACAGAAGTTGTATACAGAGTTACTTTTTTGTACCCCATTAGCTTATACCTCTCCCTGCTCTGTCTCTATCCCCAGAGGAATGGGTACGGCCAGTCATGAAGAGGGACAAGCAGGTTCTTCTGCACTGGGGCTATTACCCCGACAGGTGAGGATGGGATCCCAGGGCAGGTGTAAGCAC